CCAAGCGAATCGGCAGCTACAGCTTTTTATTGTAATAAGGAAGACACTGCTGCCCAGTAGCCTGGATAGCGTGTAAATTTAGTGAAAGTGTAAAATAGTAAATTTGTACTTTTAATGTATTGTAAGTATTGGGATATAACGAACTTCTTATTTTAAAAGGCTTCCTAGAAATAGATTTTGAAAATGATATTTATATTTCCTTACAAACAAAGATAACTCTAATAAATAAATGGGGTGGTGGCAAAATGCTGAGTTTCTTAAAAAGCAGTCTACGAGAGTCAGTTTGTGAAGCCCCGCACAAAGCTCTGATACACTTTATTGCATTTCAAATATCATCAATTCTGTGCTTTAATAGGCATATTAGAAATTATTCTTTTTAAAGGTTAGACAAATTTTGTAAGCTTGGCGCTAAGTTCAATTAAGTGTGGTTCCCCACTATAGTGAAAGTCACCATTTAACGGTTTTTGTAAAATTGTGAATTTAAAAAGTGTATAAATTTGGGTATTTGACAAATTAATGCTTCATTGGTTTTTTTTAGGAGGGGGGCAAACGAGCATGCGACTCACCTGATGGTAAGTGACTACCGCTGCCCATGAACAACTACAACACCAGGGAAATTGCAGATCATTGCCGGCCTTTTAAAAAGGAGTAGGCTCTTTTCTTTAAGGTACCTAAGTCATATCGGCCCGGAAAAATCGCCGCGGAATTATCTATCGTGGTTGGAGTTAGTCCAAACAATTCCTCAGAGCACTCTCTGTGATAGATGTGATAAAATACGCAAAGAGATGCAACATCTCTACGCAGTGCCAGTGAGTCAAGCCGATTGGAAAGAACTCAGTCGTCGAAGATTCGAATCGCACTGCGCTGGATGCGGTCAAGTGGAAGGATTTGGCACTGGGGGACCCCTATGCAGAGATGGGAACAGTATTCCATGTGAGGCTGAACCTGCGCCTTGTAAAGTTGCAAGCGGTGTGCCAGCATGAAATACTGTCCCGCTCTGCTTAGCACGCCAAGCTTTTTAGACACCAATTTGGCCTTCTCCAAGTAACCACGAAACTGAACGTTACTCGATATGTTGACACCGAGGATTCTGATACTGGTTGAGGCAACAAGGAGTGTGCCTTGAAACTGAGGAGATACGACAAAGGGGTTCTTTTTAGCGGTAAACGCGCAAACATGTGTCTTCTGGGGATTGAACTGGACTAGATTTAGTCGCCCCCAGTCTGAGAATTTGTTCAACATAGTGTCGACCTCAGACACAAGTTTGTTCCGGTACTCGGCGACGTTTTCCCGAGAAATATTGGCACGGCCGGTGTATAGAGCATCACCAGTGCTGTCATCTGCATAGGAATAAATGTTATCGGTTTGCAACATATCATTGATATGCAGGAGAAACAGTGTTGGTGATAGCACACAGCCTTGCGAAACACCAGCGTTAATGGGCTTATAGTCGGAGCATGCACCGTCTACTACGACCCCTTGATCATAATAAATACTACTAATAAAACTGGTGATCCAATTGCACAATATCTCGGGAAGCCCATAGGAAGGGAGCTTCAAAAGAAGCGCTTTGTGCCAAACCCGATTGAAGGCCTTCGCTATGTCCAAACTAACTGCCAACGCTTCCACCTTGGACTCCACTGCCACCGCCCATTTATGAGTTAAGTAACCTAGAACATCACCAGCTGAGCGACCTCGACGGAAACCGTACTGGCGGTCACTAATCAGCTGGTGATCCTCAAGGTACCGCATGAGCTGGCAGTTAATAATGCTTTCCATTACTTTGGAGAACAATGAGGTGATAGCGATAGGCCTGTAGTTGGACGGATCTGAGCGGTTGCCTTTTTTAGGGTGCACCAAAGCTGTCTTCCATGAGTTCGGGATTACGCCTAGGGAGTAGGAGTACCGGAAAAGACGCGTTAAAACCGGTGCCAACTCCGGAGCACACGTCTTCAGTACAATAGGTGGGTCTCCATCAGGCACTGTGTAATCAGCACTTCCTGCATGGAACACTTACACCTCGGGATGGTCGGTGGTATGTTCCCCCCGTCATCTAGAGTGAGTTGGAAGCAAAAAGAGAGCCTAGCAGATCGGCTTTCTCCTTTGCGTCATGGGCCAGTGAGTCGTCCACCCTGTGCAGAGATGGCAGAGATGGCTGACAGAAGTTCATTTGGACAGCCTTGACGAGAGACCAGAATGCACGGGTTCCCGAAGAGAGACGAACTAGTTTCTCGACAATTCTGCCGATGTGCTCTGACTTTGCCTTGGCAATGACACTTTTGAAGGACCAGGAGGCGGATTTATACTTCTTTTTAAGAGCGCTGGTGTTTACATCCCGGGACGATGATGAGTCAGCCCAGGCCTGGTAGCACTCCTGCTTATAGCGTGATAAAATTTTACAGGAGTGACCAAATCATGGCTGAGTTCTGCCACCAATAAGGTACCACAGATGATAGAATAAATAATTCCATTCCCTGAATTACCACATCAGCGACAGAATCAGTCACAACGTTGGGATCATCCGGCGAGAAGTAAACCTGCCCCCAAGGGTAGGTTGCAAAAAAATTACCGCATCCCGTCCCGATTGGCCGACTTATAATGCCAAACGCAGCGGCAAACTGTAGATCGCAACTGCGATGGGAGCGTGAATGACACCGTACTCCGGATCAGACAGTGGTCCGAAGAGCCAAGAGGGGCATCGACGGAGACCTAATATCCGTCCGGATGAGAAGTTAGCAGAAGGTCCAACAGGGAACGTACATGATACTCCACATCTGGGAACCGCGTAGGCGTAGTAACCAGTTGTGTCAGACCATACGCCAAGGCAAAATCATGAACAGATCTCCCCGCATGATCGGTTAAACGTGAACCGAGCCATTCGTCTTGGTGGGCGTTACAATCGCCTAGGATCACGATCTCTGCGAATAGGACCTGTTGTAGCAAGGAATCTGTAGCCATTTGGAAGTGGTCGATGAGTCGGTCTGTGTCGGCATTACCGCTATGGGGCCTATAGAGGCACCCGTAGACGCGGGGATGGTCGTCGCTGTCTACCTGCAGTTATATGGATGGACAGGTCCGTACCTTCAAAGACTGCCGAGGTCTCGAAAACAGATGTCCCCTCTGACGTACACGCAAACTCCAGCCCGGAGCACATAGGAGTGTTCTAAATTGTACCCCGGGTAGGAGAGATACGAAGTATCAGCCGGAGAGGACACCTGTGTCTGGGTTAGAAAGAGCAAGGCTGGCTTTGCTATCTTGTTTGTTATGAATGAAGTCCCCTGATATTGCAGAAATTCACGGAAAGCGTGGCAGGGGTTGCCTTTGTCTTATTGCTCCGCTTGCCCCGAGCAGATCCCCGCCCCCCCCCCCACCGTGGTACCACCCCATTTCTAGCCGGCCCATCCAGGCGACAGCAAAAGCTGCCGCGTGGCTCTACCTATATTAATTACTGTTGGTTACGTATGGTCTAACAATAATTTTTAATAAAAATATTCTATTCTATCAAATGCAATTATATTTTTTAGCAAAAAAAAAATCGGGATTGTATTTTACTCACAAAATGTATTAATTACATTGAGTTAAATGTACTACGTACTAGAGAAGCTATTCCAAACAAAAAATGTGCGCTACTCTATGTCTTCACGCATGCGCAGTTGATATAAGCGCGTTGCGCCTGCGCGGTCAGTTTTTGTCATCATAGATTAGGTATACGAAGGTAGAATGATCAGTATGTAATAATTGTTTATTTATATTGTATTGTTAATTATATCGAGTACAATTCTTTTATTGTTATATTTATTTTGCATCTGTGCTAATTTAATATAGTATTACATAATATTATGTCACAATTATATTTTAATGATATTTAAAAGGTAAACATGTAAAATATAAAAATATACATTTATATTATCTTATATTATTTATTTTTATATTCGTAAGAATCACTTTTTTCTGTAAATAAATATTTTCTCTTTGTATTTTTTTAAATTTCTCAGTACTTTCTTTCTAGGTGCAGCTTGCGTAATTTATTTTTGAGTACAATTTTTGTCGGACTCAAAAATTTAATTTAAACTGCATACTGATTCAGACAACGGTTCTAATACTTCTTATTCACCACATTTTGTTGGCTGAAAAAAAAGATACTAGTTATCTGGGAAGCCTGTAAAAATTCTAGCGTTACAGTATTAAAAACCCGCCATATACTACTACGACTCGCGCGAGGGTACCGCCTCTCTTAAGTCCCGTAAATATACTGAATTTACACATTACAAAAATTCGTTCGTCATCTAATCTAAAAATGAAACAAAAATCCCAGCAATATTATATAATAATATAATTACGTTATCGCATGGCACTGCAGATTTCTTTAAGTATACTCTTCCTGTTTTAGTGAAGTATTAGTTGTTTTCTTTGAAATGTACGGAACATATGCGTGAATAATCTGACGGTAACCACGTTTCTTCGCTGCGATTCTTCTGTACAAATTTGATTCATGATTCTCTTTATATTTTTGGATTCAGGAAACCTTTAAATCCAAATAATAATAAAAACTATGAATTTTAATGCATTAACATTTCCTACCTTAATTATATATTAATATTTACGGTGCATAATTACTTAACATTATACGTCAATAGTGTTAAGTCTGCGCATATAAATGTTTTACTCTTTGACATTCCCGTATACGTTGCAGTTGATAAAATATAATTAAATTAAGCGTGTTTTAAAGATAATAATATGTTGAACTTACTGGTGAAAAGTCACTCCTTGACTTTTACTTATGTTTCTCGAGTTGTTTGAACAGTATTTCAATGCTCGCGAAGGCATATTAATTTAAAAATAATTCTTCACACAAACTTCTCCCGTTGCAGCAATCGCTTGACACAGACTAAGTGAGTTTGAGAGCGCGCACTCTAACGCGTGTTACAAACAATCGAGTTGAGGTGTCTCCTCTAGTACGTAGTACATATAACTCAATGATTAATTATTAACTTTTACAGGACATCAGTAATAGAGCAATACTTCGGTGGTACATTAGATGTGGAGCTGGTTTGCTCGGAAGCGGATGAGCCGCCCACCAAGAGTACGGAATCCTTCTTGCAATTGTCCTGCTTCATATCACAAGACGTCAAATATTTGCAATCTGGTCTTAGATCTGTAAGTGGTGATAAACTTTATTATGTAATATACTAAAAAGAGTGAGCGTGCTGTGTTTCTTAGTCCTCACGGATGACAACGCATCTGCATTTTGATTCACATACGAGGATACATGTAGATGTCTATGGGCCACAGCAACCACTTACCATCAGGTGGACAGTGTGCTCACTTGTCACCCTTATCCTATAAAAAAAAGACGGGGCAATTGTGTGGCGTGATACGGGACGAGACGCGAGCTGAGCAGTTAAAAAAAAATAAGTTTTAAGGGAAGTTTTTTTTTCTCCCTAGGGTTGGCCTGTCACGCAAATAAATTAGAATCGTTCACACTTCATGTGCGGTAAGAAACTGTTAGTCGTTCTGATTTAAAGATAAGGAATTAGTTTCATCAGTTTCCACATACACATTAATTTCTTTATTATAAAATCAGTTTTTAATTTTTTTTATTACTTCCAGTTCTGATAACCCTAGCAATTTATTGTTTATGTCGGCTTTACCGACAACATCAAACGCGATGACGGACTGTATGTTATTCTTAGGCTGTGTCCATAGATAACTATGGGGCACCGTATCGGCTTACCATCAGGTGGACCATTTGCTCATTTGTTACCCTTCATTCTATAAATAAGGTGGTTTGTTAGCCTCTTTGTCAAATAAGTTTCCGACTGGGTAGATAGATCTATTACAAGTGACTTTACTTAAATTATTCCATTGTTTCAGAAAATGTCTGAACAAATCACGAAATTGTCACCAACTTTAGGAAGAGATGCAACTTACACAAAAACTGTAAGTTATTTTTGCTGTACTTATTTTGATATTAAATGATTAATTCAAATGTTTCTGTTTATCAAATGAAAAGGAAAAGTTAGAATCATTAAACTGTGCCACTTCAATTTTATATAAACGCTAATGTTAACTTCATATTCAAGTTTCTTGAATCAATTCAATGTTTTGGGTCTTCTGCATTATAATGTATCTATATACTTTTGCAGTGCAAAATAAGCCGTCTGCCTGCATACTTAACGGTACAATTCGTGCGATTCTATTTCAAGGAAAAAGAATCCATTAACGCCAAGATCCTGAAAGATGTAAAATTCCCTCTTGACCTTGATGTGTTTGAATTGTGCTCACCAGAACTGCAAGAGAGATTGGCACCGATGAGAGCAAAGTTCAAGGTAATTTATACTTTTTTTTAACAATCTTATGGTTGAATATTGCAGTTAGTCACTCAATGTTATTTATTTTTCAGGAACTGGATGATTCTAAAGTAGAGTCATCTTTGATTGGAAGAAATAAAAGCCATGGCGATACTAGGAAAGATATTCAAAGAAAAACGGTGCTTCCATATTGGTTTGAGAATGGTATATGCCTTTATAGATAAAAGTAGCTGACCCGTGCCCACTTTGCTGGGCGTCAATCATTTTAACTTGTGATGAAATTATCTTGTGTGGTTCTTAGTACTGAGTGTTTAGGATTTATTTTCGGAATTTATTGACAAATATTGTTATTTCACATTTAAAAATATTATCCCTCACAATCAAATATACCCTATGTCAATCAGGAATAATGTAGCTTTCTACTGGTGAAAGAATTTTTAAAATCGGTTGAGTAGTTTCCTCCAAACAAACTCACAAACTTACAAACGTTACCTCTTTATAATATTAAGTATAGATTTAGGAACAGAAAATACCTTACGAATTGTGACTTTTTACAATTGGGCACTTGATACCATAATATAATTGCTAATTTTAACAGTATCTCAAAACTTGGTTGGTTTCTGTTATAAGTTTAATTAGATATTTGTCGTTTTAAAAAAAAGTTGATGTTTATGTCACTTCTAGAAAGTCTACTAGGTGGTAGATTTTCTTTTCTGCCTACGAATCTGTCTTCTGCTTATGCGAAGTCGTGGTAGCTTAGTGGCTTACCGCTCGCTGTAAATTTCACAGTACGTGAGCAACCCGGTTTTGATCCTCGTCGGCACCAATGAAGTTGTTAATTGCAATTTTAAGTGCTGATTTACCATGTGCTCGGCGGTGAAGAAAAACATCGTAAGGTAACATGCATGTCTGAGAAATAAAAAAATTAAAATATTTCAAAGACATGTGAAGAAGTTTGACAACATGCATTGGGGCAACGCGTCGGGTATTTCCTTGCTCTAAAACCTTCTCAGACGTGAGAGGAGGCCTGTGCCCAGCGGTGGGACGGCTATATTGGTTGTAACTTTACTTTTTTTTTCTTTACTATGAGTCTATCTGTGTAGGGACCACTCTCATGTGTTGAGTACTGCATATTCTTCTCTATTTCTTCTCCACTCGGTGTTGTAGTTTTGCTATTCAATGAAGTGTTCTGTACACGTATGCCAAACTCATCTCTTCCTTCTGTTCTTGTCTTCCTCTCAGCAGCACAAGACGACAGCTCGTTGAATCTAATGAGTACACAGAAGTAATTTAAGTAAACAGAATCACATTCACTAATGATCAGCTAATGACTGTCATTGTTAAAAAAGTATTTTTTAACTCTTTCACTTTCTGCTATTGTCTTTGTAATATTGTCTAAAGTGTATATAGAGGCGGTATAGTTCCAGGCTGTGAGCATGCCATCTTAGTCCACAATAGCATTTGTAGTCTTCTTTCCTTGATGCTGCTGTAGGTGTCCTTGGACTGCAGTAGCCACTTACCATCAGTTGGGTTGTAAGTTCGTTTGTCACTTTAATTTTATATTAAATGTAAACGGTTTTTCAATAAGGGCGGGTAGATGTTGAAATGAAATAAAACAAGCTGTGTGTGAGGTATTAACAAAATTCTTTTTTTATTTGAATGATGTCATATTGTAATGGCACGGATCCGAGTGGTTCCGTCCAATTTTTAAATGACTCTTCTGCATAGATCCGGCAAAATTTGAGCGATGGCCTGTGTTATATTCACCTTTAGAGCATCGGTCGATTGTGGTTTGTTTGCATAGACCTGCGACTTCAAGAAACCCCACAAGAAAAAGTCTAGCGGGGTCAAATTCAAATTAATTTATTTCAGATAACATAAGATCCATATTATTGAAAAACATTGATTAATTGATAATAAAAATAATAATATGTCATTAAAATATATTAAAATACAATTAAAATACATTGAAATACAAATAAAATACATTAGAACCAGAATACAATATATACAAATTACACATAATTATTAATAATACCCTCTCGCTCCCACAATTACTGGGACATGACCTTGGTGGCCAACTCACATCACCCCTGCGAGAGATAAGCTTACCTTCAGATCGCTCATGGAGAATGTCAATTGTGGAGTCCGCTGTGTGGCACGTAGCGCTGTCCTGATGGAACCTCATGTCGTCTAAGTCCATATGGTTCAATTTGGGCCATAAGAAATTTGTTATCATCGTTCTGTAGCGCCAGCCGTTGATAGTGGTAAACGGTAACTTTTAAGGATGCATTATCACCTGGTAAACCTCGCGTGGGTTGGTGTCGTGCCATATACGGCAATTCTGCTTGTTAACACAGCCATTCATCCAAAAATGTGTCAGTTGGATCTTGTACGGGTGTAGGCCTAAGTCCCGACGCAAAATTCGCCAAGTTAAAGTCTGCGAAAGGCTGAGTTCTTGTGCACGGCGAGGAATCGACTACCTCGGGCTCTGCTGTACACTTTCACGAACCGCGACGATGTTCTCGGCCGATCTTGCGTTCCTTGAACGTATGGGTGTTGGTTGTTTGTTTACCGAATCGGTTCTTTCAAATTTGGCCACCAAATGTTGAAGCGTCTAGTGTGAAGGGCCACCACGTCTACCGTAAAATGGGCGCAATGCGCGCAACGTTTGCACTAACGAACACTCATTTTGATAATAAAGTTTTATCATTTAAACGTGCTGTTCAATCGTGTTATTTGTCATGGTGATTTAGCATAAGTAACTAAATAATAAACAAAAGATTTGATAGGTGTCACCAAACGCAATACCAGAGGCTTTCAAATAAGCACTAAAATCTTACCTTTTAACACCCTAATAAGGAACCAACTAGAATTTGCGAGTACAATATGGAACCCAACATACGCTGTGCACTCGGTGTGTGCAGTACGCATATTTGTCCAGCACGAAGTAAGCGTGCGACATTCGTTGAACAAAAGTTACTTTATTTGAAACGTGTTTGCTTATTATCAGGAAATAAAGGATCTAAATAAAATGTATGTAGTCGATTAAAAATCTAATTCAACAACATGCCTTTCATATTATCTTTTGTTTTATATTTCATATTAAGTATAAAAATATTATATGGTTGTCTTTAAAATCACGATTAAACATATTTTTTTTCTCGATTAATATAAATTTTTAAAAATCCATTCTATTAAGAATATAATTGAGTATTTCATGTATGCGCATATTTCTTCCGAGCACATACTATTTCAAGAAGTATAAATTCTTGCACGTCAAAATCGTGTCTGAAATAAGAGATTTTGTACAAGCTGGCCTTGCTTTATTGGCGCGTTCATGATCCGTCTTAATGGGAGACGCGTGTCGGCAGACGTGGGCAGCAACAACAGCGGCTACTACCGGCTGCAGGCCGTGCTGACGCACCGCGGCCGCTCGTCGTCGTCCGGTCATTACGTGGCCTGGGTGGCGCGCGGCGACTCCTGGCTGCGCTGCGACGACGACACCGTCACGCCCGTCACCGAGGACGAAGTGCTCAAGCTCAGCGGCGGAGGTAACACACACACACACCATGCAAACACGCACGCACGCACTTACACGCACACACACGCCCGTTCGTGTACACAAACGTTGCGAATAGTGAGCACGTAGTGACAAAAAACATAAGGTGAAATAAATATACGGTCTGCTCTCGGCCATTTTCGAGCGAGATGGCGCTGAAGACATCATTTTTTAGTTTATTTTTTTTTAGTTTTTGTGTAATTGGAACATTATTAAGTCGTAGAAGTAGCTACCACGGTACTCGGACATTGTACTTTATTGTATTAGGTCATATCATTACCTCAAAATCCACACAATTCGAGACAAAACCCTAAAATAATTGAATATAGTGCCGTTTACACACACACACAAACACACACACACACACACACACACACACACCCAGACGTGGGTGAATTCCTAGTCCCTACGTTTACTAAGATTGAACACTAGATGGCGTGAATGAATTTTTTTTTCTTTTTTCTTACACTGTATTTGAATAAAATTTTAGCATGGTAATTCATAACCATAAATTGAAAGAGATCGCAGGTCGTCAGAAAAATAATCCAGATCATAGATGATTCTTTCTAATGGGTTGCGTTAGGAACAAAAAGTAATAAGTTTAGAACAATAAAATGTAAGAGTAAAATTTTACTTATCTTTATGTTATCTTATTCCTGGTAGAATATTGGTTGACGAATAACAAAAAATAAATCAGATTAGAATAAGTTATTTATTTATAAATAATAAATTACGTCTATTTAATTGTAAGCACGGAACAGGAAAACAAATTGTAAGTAACTGAATTATGTTCGTTTCTGAATGCACCGTGACCGTAGCAAACGATACGACGCGACCTTGAGCTTAGTAGTCCAACAAAATGAAACAAACAAATAATAATGTGTGTTTGTCTGAAACTGTTTGCAAAATGCGTAATAGCTATTTTTTACGTAACCCGGCAAAACTATATTTTGCAAATGTTTGCAAAATTAATTTTGTGACTACTTTGGTGGCTTACCGATTTGTAATTTTATTTATGTTGACAAATAAAATTTAAATATGAAACACTGACTTTGTAGTTTTGTACTCAACACTGACACGAATGACGTAGGTAATTAGTATTGTGACGAGATTTGAAATCACGGGCCAACTTGCTGTTTCTAATACCACCATATTTTGAATAATTAATTACTATAACTACCTACACAAAATAACAATATATTCTATTACTAGCTGATACCTACACAAAATAACAATATATTCTATTACTAGCTGTGCCCGCGACGTAGCTCGCGTATATAGGTTTTACTTAAAGAATTTGACGTTTAGTTAAGGGAATATTAAACGATTTATATCATTACTATATCAATAAGTGATAACAAATAAATCGTTATCCTCAAAATTCTAAGTCGTTTATGATAGAGCTTCTGTGTAAACGACGTTAGAAGTATACGGCCGCGGCGTAGGTACACAAATAGGTTATGGGGGCTACTAACGCGGGAAAAGGCAACATAGAGTTGGCCATGTGCAAAACAGTTAGTACTGAGGTCCACTCCTGGAACGCGTAAAGACCTTGCGCTTTATTTACGGTCGACGCATAACACACGCTGACTGGGAACTGAACACGCTTAAAACTGAAAGGAAAGTTATTTGGGATTAGAGGGAATCTGGGTATGAAAATAATATCACGATATTTTGTTACAACACTGTAACTTGGGTGGGCGTGTTTCTTTTCTGATTTCTGGTGATATTTGCGCTGTTAGCCTACACGGCTCTTTTAACTTCATCGTACTCATGGGTACAAATTTCTTCAGTGAGTCTCAATACGATTAAAAAAAAGCGAAAAATCTTAACACCGCAATTCTTTTTTTTCTTTTGCCCCCAAAGCGAGGCTACCCTCTGGAAGCGGGGGAGAGAGGTGGTGAATGCTCATAGCATACCACGGCAGTCGGCTGCGTGGTTATGTGGGACTCACTTTGAAGAAGTGCCTACCCACTAAACACCATCTGTGGGACTGGCGTTGGCCATTATGGCCTTCCTGCCGAATCGGAAGCGATCCCCTTTAGGAAAAAGGGGCGCCACCGCAATTCAGAAAAATTTGTAATTTATAAAACGCGATCTATTACGTTCTTTGTGAGAAAACATCCTTTTTTTAATTTAAGGAAAACATATTTTTTGTTTACTGTGTTTTAAGTATATTATAATAGAACGTTTTTCACACACGAATCTTTATTTCTGAGTTTTATGGCGCCTTTAAACAGATTCGAACCTAGATTTCAAAATAAGAATCATAACTTTCGATAAAATTAACCAATTTTAATAAAACAAAGATTAAAAATGAACTCGAATATACTTAATTGTTAATAGCTCTTTTAGAATTTTATTTACCAATTAGATTACTCGGCGGTAAAGAATAATTGAGTTTGTCAACACGCAGTAGGGCAACGATTAATATAAAGATTAGCAGCAAATATGAAAACTCATCTACAGGAAAAAAACACAACCTGACTTATTGTATTACATTTGTACAACACTGCCATCTATCAATGAAATTGGTTAACTATTACTTTAGATTTAGATAATAAGATTAATATAATATATTTTTGTATATACTTATTACGTTATTTTTCTTTAATACTTTTGTTTACTGCGTTTTAGATATAATTATATCATTATAGAACATCATATAATTATGATTTATAATATGATATTAGTTTAAAATGCACTTGATGACTCAATCAACGCCACCATTGAACAAATTCGTACCTATACCTTGTACCCATACTTCAGAATATTTATCATAACTTTTGATGGAATGAACTGATTTTAATAAAATAAAGACTAAATGTAACCTGAAGATGCACTTTACAATTTCCTTAACGATTCTCATGATATAAATTAGTACTTTATATGTGATACGTTAACAAACAAACAGACAGACAGACAATTCTAAAAACGGTAGAAATGTATTTAATTACTTATTTTTAGTATCTCTCAATCACTTTTATTACAAAAATATAAAATGTACAGATGTCTGCTATTTACATTTTTATTATATGTATAGATATTGGAATCAAATACATACTAGAAATATTTCCAATTGAACCAATGAAAGTCATACAAAAATATATAACACGCAAGAAATTCCGCGCGCAAATCCTATCGCGTGACATTCGAGAATTACTTCAGAATGTATTATATTACAGTCAAACAAGCGAACGAAGTTTGACAACGCTTTTTCTGCTTTCAACGTAGTGCATGTTGGTCAAAGTTAGGAAGGACGGCATCGTTTCACGAATAATGGTATTTATGTTAGCACACAACAAAAATAAAATTGTTTACATTGCCTCCAAAGGTCGTCAGTTTTATGTTATTTTATTGTTTTCTTTTCTGAGTAACGGTAGGAAAGGAAATAAATCCATTTTGTATATAATGTATTGATTTATAGGAATTATAATATCGTTCGCCATCTGGCGTGCCAATGTCTAATCTATGCTTTTGGCGCTTTTGCTTGTCAAAGTTGTTAAAAGTAAAGCGTCTCCCACACACAAGCGGCTTGCGGTGGCGGCTAACCGCGAGCCGCGGCTCCAGCCGCTGCAACAACACACCACCGCGGTCGAAGTGGCGGCCTGAAGTTCTATTCGCTGTGGTGTCTGTGCTACGATCGGATGTCAGTCAACATGACTAACCATGGCGATGTCTTTTTATTCTTATTATATTCATCAATATTAACCCATATTTTGTTTTTAATACTAATGCTTTTGTAATCAAGGTGTGAAGTATCACAAAATACTGGATAATTTTGCACTTTTTCTTTTAAAATCTCTGTATTTAGCGCCATTATGCATGCGGTACACGCGGCCTGTTGTAAAAATTTTCAACTGACCGCGCTGCGGCCACCGGTTACCGATAGAAACCTAACAGGCGGAGGGGGCGGGGCATTCGGTCGCGGCCAGCCGCTCGCAGGCCGCGTCATGGCCGCACGGGTTTGCAGGCTCACTTACATTGCAAGCGAATACAATTGGCCGCCACCGCGACCGCCACCGCAAGCCGCTCCTGTGTGGGAGACGCTTCACTCACACTAGTAAAAGAAGTGTTAAAATTTTCCTAGAATTCACTATTCCTATTCTTATTATATACTGCAAGTTCTTTCCTAAAAAGGTTAACCGCGTACACATTTCAGTGTAGAAAAGTGAATAAATGATTAGTTTTAAATAAATAATGTTTGTGTTTAGCGTATATGTCCAGACAAAAATGTATGGGCGCCTATCAGAGCATCCACCATAATAAATATGCTAATTTGCCACCAAAATTTTTTTTTATATAGTATGAGGGTGACAAAACGAGCTCACAGTCCACCTGATGGTAAGTGGTTGCTGCGGCCCATAGACATTTACATATATCCTCTATTACAAATCAAAATGTAGATGCGTTGTCACCCGTGAGGACTAAGATGGAATGCCTCATTTCCAGTAAAAAGGGCCTCCGGCCACCTGCACTCACCAAGCGAAACGCAGAGTTAAACCTCTACTTCACGCTGGTTTTCTGTGAGTGCATTATCTTTATACGAATGTATTGAATTGATATTAGCACGACATACACTTCCTAAAAAATTTACTATATCAAATGACTTCAGTTATTCTCCAAATTTAGCAATTAGTTATACATAAGTATTTCAACGGATTCGCACATAGCTGGTGACAGCAATAGTTGTGATGAAATCAAAAATATTATAGTGTACTTATCTTTATTTGAAACTTCGAAATGACAAAATTTTAAATAAAAAAACTCGCGTGCTGCGTGTCCAACAATACATAAATTTTAAACGGTCACTAAGTACTAAATATTTAATAAGCGACAACTTAATATAATTTATTCAAAGAATTCGTAAACACCAGGTGACTGGCACTGCGCCTACCTCCTGCTGTATGGACCTAGGATTCTAGAGTTGCCCGAGGAAGAGGAACCAATGGTGACCGAAGTGACCGAGGAACCGGCCGGCGACCCGCCCACCGCGCTCGCATAATGTGCCGTGATCCACGGATAAAATAAGGCTGAACCGCACTTATCATTGTAATAACTCTATAGTCAGTCTAGAAATGATTGCCGTGTAACTGTCAAATCTATACGCTGGTAAATAATTTCCGTTGCGATTTTTATTTAAACATCTTGCTATACATTAATTTAATATATCAACAATAAAAAAGTAAATGTATGTATTATTAATAATAAAAAAATATAAGTAATATCAGTATCTATTCTTTTTGAGAGATAATAAATAAAAATATACTTCCCGCCTTTTATCTCCTAGGTGTCCATTTCGTTTTAACAAAATAAATCATTTCTAGACTTTTCAAAGGTTCCCTTTTCATATTACGTATAATTAATTGTACTGCTGTTATTGTCAGTAACACTTTACTGACAAGAATATGGAAACTGTAACTTAACATTCAAGAATTCTCTGATATTTTACTAATAATGTAGTTTATCATAGTAAAATTCGGCAAAATGTTCCTGTTAAATTGATGCTAAATTGATATTAATGTAAGCAAAGGTTTCCATTTAGGGATTAATGCTCAACGTAACTTTGCATGGCATGTAACTTTCTATTAAAATGAATTGAATATAATGAATGCCTCCCTAAAGCATTGTAACTTATGATGTTATTTATAAGAGTAATATATTTAAAATTATAAAATTAATAATTTGAACATAAAATTTTGTTCAGCACTAAGACCAATTTGTTTTTCGTATGTATAATTCCAGTGATCTAAGATTCGCTCACAATTTTTTTATCAAACATATTGAATTAAAACGAATTACAGTGTCTTAGCGAATAGTTGAAAAGTGGAACCGATAATATTCATTTATCTGAAATAAGCATTTAAAATGCTGCTGCCGTTAGCTTAAGGCATTCATATTTAGCACTTCACGATAATACCCTATGTAAGTTCTTTATACGAATGTATTGAATTTTATAAGACTAAATATACTAAAAAATAATAATAAAATTAATAATAAATTTTTTATAATTTTTAATTATCCTTTATCTTCTAATATACCCATATATGTGGCAGAGCCATGCTGTAGTTATATTAGTAGTATAGTTGTAGCACGAATAGGTCGGCTCGACCGGGGAAGGACCACCCTCTCACAGAATACCGCCGTAAAATAGCAGCTTAACGCTGCTGTGTTTAGTATGGTGAGTGTAGGTAACTGGACACAATTTTACTGAAAATGAGGCATTAGTCCCCACAGGTGACAACGCATCTGCATTCTGATTCTTAATCAAGGATAGATGTAGAAGTCTATGTGCCGGAGCAACCACTTACCATCAGGTGGACTGTTGCTCGTTTGTCACTCTTATCCTATAAAAAAAATGTTTGTATTTATGCGCTGCCATACCGTTTGCGTTGATTGCGGTAAAACTTTGTCAACTTATTGCTTGCACTTGCGCGAAGGTTATAGGCATAGTACTATTAAGTTACAGTAGGTGGCGCGGGTATCGTACCGACAAAGATGTTCCAGAAATGTATGGAGCCTGGGCCAGCACTATGTACACTATATGTAAATATCGCTGTATAATATAGTAACCGTTTTTTATTGTTAGTTTTCTTTAATTTCACTTCGTTTCAATGTACATTCAAATTAACTTAGTCAAGGAGAGCAACACAACATTAAATTAAACATGGTGGATCACACAGACAAAACCATAGACTTAGTATAGAAAACACGAAAAATGTCATTTTGACATTAACATTTGATTCTTGATTGACGTCTATTGTAATATCAACAATAAAAAACAACACGAATTTCGAAAATCTTGGATACGATAAACTTAGACTACAGGATATTCAACACAGAGTACATTATATATAGGGAAATATTCAACTCGATTGCGGCAGCACATCTTATGTCACCTATTAGATTAGTTATATCTAAATGAAACGAAGGCTTGAAAGTTATTTTGTTTATTAACACTTACCTGCTGCTTCATTCTTTAGTGCCTATCAATATATTCTGGACTTCGATAATTCATAGGCGAGCAGTGAGCTGTGCAGTATCTGACAACTGCAAGTTATTGTTAAAGTAGTTAACTATTCCTATTACACAGTAACAACAGAAGATACCAACTATTTTATTCAATTAGGCAGGAGCAGCATAATCAGCCTATAATGTTCACACTGCTGGGACATATACTTCCTTTCTGTGAGGGATTGGACTGTGTAATCCACCACGTCAGCCCCCTGTCCCAACTTAACACTATCAATTTTTCAAACAAGTTATGTTATATAATTCCTAGTATTAGTGACATCAAAAAGATGAGAAATCAGTCATGAGAGACAAATTGTTGGAACTTATGATTTTATTCATTTTCCACATCATCCCTTATTAATATTCCATCCAGGAATGACACCGGTGTTTCTATGCTCTCTTGGTACTGAGCCCAATCCAAATACCACACAGTGGTCATGACGTCAGCACAGCAACCCATTGTCCAATGTCTGGAGATACAATTACAATAATAGCTAATTATTTTATCATCCCCACTTGATCCTTCCCTTGCCAGCAATATGTAGGTATATGTTCGTCCTGAGCTATGTCGAGTTTTTAACAGGCTTTTATTAAAAAAGGATCAAGTTGGGATGGGGATGCTTCTGCTACTACTTCCAGTTGGTCCGATATTTCTACCTGAAATGATCCATGCTGCCTAATATGTTCCCCAAAATAGCTTCTAGCCTGTTTTATTTGATAGGTACCCAGCCCAAAAAGTATCAATTCAGACATAGTCATTTTAGGGAAAATACTTAACTCTGGAAGTTGACCATCAATTCTTGTGAATTGGGCTCTAAAGCGGTTGATCCGGCTAGCAATTATAAATTCTGCTAACCGGTTGGGCATATTTTCACTCTGTATTGCTCAAGTATAGCTACAGCATTTGGTCTGTTTACAATCACTGGATGGAAGGCATTAATTATAACATTGTCCATCAAATGGGTGGCAGTCAAATCAAAATATTCACGTCCCAGATGCTTAGTCTCTTTTAAATCGACCATTAACTACCTCTACCACCCATCTGCATAGTGTCACACACCTTGTCTTGTTTGTATTGATGGTCAATAACTGAGTCTCTCCTTGTTCTAAGGATTCATGTTTAAATACTTTGAAGCCCAACCCCTCTAGCATTGGAATGGAATCACGAAAGACTCGATATAAAATGAAAACATCATTGGGCTGAAAAAAAAGCCCTTAGACCCTCATTTTCATTTTGGAACAAAGCTTTCATGATGCCATAATCTGATTTGGTTGTTGGATAGGGCCCCAAAATATCAATAATGTAAGTATCAGTGGCAACAATGTTATATATGTTATATAAAAATATTTGTGCAAGCTGTTTGTTTTTGAAACAAGTAGTTGGATGATGTTTGAAGATATATATAGGTACCATCACATATTATTATTGGTACTCTTGCCTCTCTGTTTCCAAACAAGCCCTCGGGTATTAATAAATTCCTATTAATTAAATCATTTATTGTGTGATTGATTATATATAATAATAATAATAAAATATATATAATTTTTCTTAAGTATTCCGGCACTCTATTTCGTTCTACATTGTTACAAGCCGGCACAAAACAATGAGCACTTGTCTGTGTCGTGTGTGTAAAACCATCAAGTGTTATTGATGCACTTGGTGGCTGCATATCAATTTGTTGCACAACTTCTTGCTCTATTCCTATATTTTCCTGTGCACGTGTCCAACAGTTGGAACAAATAAGCACATATTCTGGTAACTGAAACAATACAAGAAACAATTTATTAATAGGGGCAACAGATAAGGTTACTTATAGTTGAATGTACAGTAACATTACTTGTGTATGGTGGTTTGGTAAATTAAAATAATCTAACCTGATTTGGGTAAATTCTTGCTGCAAGTTTATCTCTTACAGGACCACGAGCCATGTGTGTTAGCCTTCGGTGTAGAGACATTCTACACCATGCATACATTAGTCTTGGTGAAGGCTAGATGGGGTTGGAGTTTGCCGATTATCCTCAATCCTTATAGCATGCTCCACATTTTTACATAGCAACATGTAAAAATGTGGAGCATGCTATAAGCCAACAAGCATAGAAAACCAGTCCTCCTGGTGGAATCTGAATAAAAGAAAAGAATACAATATGTATTGGCTATTCACTCAATTATGTAATTCCAACACTAGGTAATTAAGTAAGTTGTTAATGTTACCTCTCTTGGATATATTGTTACTGTTATTATGGTCCGTTCAGGTCCTTCATGTATGGAGTGGCCGTGTGTCTGGGCAAGAGGCCATCGGCACCATACACATACATTTATATTCATAACAACAGTAGAAGCTGCTATAATTCCTTGTTGTTGTATTGTACGCCAGGTGTGTACCCAACAAGCAAAACATATTAAAGCACCTTCAGGTATCTAAAACAAAAATGTAAATAAAAAATGACTTTCAATAAGTATTATGTAATAAACAATATTGAATAAAAAATCATTCTATTATATTCTATGAAATTAAGATTTATTTATTTATATCACAATATTTCTAAATAATTTAAATTAATCAAGATTTAGTTATTTCAATATCACTTTTATAGACTCATCCGAGGTGATTTTATATATAAATCACATGTCTACACACATTTCCAAAAATTAAATTGTGACTGTTCTTTTTCTTCTTGAAACGATGTTGTCTTTGACTATAATTAAGAAACAAATACATTTGCATACCTTTGTATGAATAAAAAAGAAAACAAAAGGGGTGCTTACCTCTCTTGGAGTAATTGTTTCAGCAATATATTGCCTTTCGGCCAATAACAGAACATATATTATAAGTTATAACCCTAAAGAATAAGGAAAGACTCACTCAAAGACGTCTAATCACTTCTTAAAACTGTCAAAGTCGTCAAACGTCATATCTATTACTAACACAACTGTCATGGCTGCCCTTAAAATAGGGTTATCATAACAAAAATATTTTTAAATGATCATTTTTGTACGGCTATACCCTTTTTCAAATTAATTTGTTAGTATTTTTATGAAATTCCTCAAATTTTTTCCTATTTATCTATGTAGTGTACATAGTGGTAGCCCAAAATCGAACATCTCCTTTATTTGAAAGATATATGTATATCACAAAATTTCAATGAATGTATTATCATTCCTAACTAAACAATATAGCTCTTCCAAATTTAAAACGATATTTCCACAATTTTTTGTTCTGCGGCGGCTGCAACCCGCCGTGTACCAACTAGTTATAAATAGTTTTGCGGTAATTTGCAATCCGTATATTTATGTTATGACTAAACACGCCTAAAGTCAATTGCATGATTTGTAAGGGGTATTTTGTTATGCAGTGGATTCGTAATAGACAGCAATTATCACACAATCAAACAGTGCTTTAACATAAATAGGTCCAACGGGAGATTATATCTAGTCAGACTTCTCGGTAGCTCCTTGAAAACAATAACAATAAAAACAAAAAAAAATATATCAAAGTAGACATTGGGCGTAGAAATCCATTTTCGGTGACATGACTTCTATTTAACTGAAAGCGAAATTGTTGCCTTTAAACGTACTGACGGGTTACCGGTAAGGAGTTTTATTGACTACTAGCTGACCCGGCGAACTTCGTACCGCCTAACAGTCGATTCTTGATTTTTTAATTTTTTTAATACTTATTCTGCTATTCGGGACACCGGGTCAGCTAGTAAAATAAAAAAAGGAAAAAAGAAAGTTGGTAAATCAACACATTATGTCAAAAAATAAAAATTATAAAACACTTAAAATTCAACGACATTATCGATACTTTGATATCAAAACGGTAACATTCCTAAAACGACGTTATATTTATTAGCGTCACCTACTGGGGAACAGCTAAAATGTTGTCATAGTAAATGCTTAGCGTTGTTTTGCTATTTTTAGCTAGAGGGTGCCACACGCCCACTGGCACAAAGTTTTTGTATATAAATGTTCCCAATGTCCGCTCTATAGTATACCTATACATTTCTTGTCTCTTTGTTTATAGGAAATTACTTGGAGTGTTTCAATTCATTCATTTCATTTCAATCAAATTCATTTTATTCTTAAAGCATACGGAATATTTTGTTATATTTTCAATTGATTTCCTAAACGTTTTTCAATAATACACATTTTACTCGTCAGGGATAAACCCACAAAATACAATTATTGCACAGAAGAAGTAATTGTGAGGCCTATGAATAATTGTGCAGGTCTGGGTATATATATTATTTATGTTACTGTAAAAGCTAGAACTACGGTAAATTCTAAGATTTTGCAGTAAAACCTAAGATTTACCAAGTACATAAGGTAAAAGTCCGAAGTGTTTTATCTAATCGTTTATTTCGGACTTTTACAAGCATTCACTCAGTAAATCTTAGGTTTTACCACTAAGACACGGTAAATGTTGAAAAATAGTAATGTAGACGTGTTTAGCGCATTGTCTTACTTGTGGACAGTGTGCAGCCCTCCCCGCTACCTGTGACACCCTCTGTTTTTATTTTGAGACTGCAACGTCTCCGGCGCTATAAAAACACTCTAGGGGTAGGACAGATTCGTACCAGGTGGAGTCGGGGTCAATCAATTCAGTTCTTTGACATAATTAATTTATTAATCAATTTTATACACATATTGTATTGCTTTAATTAATTCTTCGAAAACATCTTTATGCGCTATTTTTATTTTTCTTCGCCAAGAATATTGAATGAGCTAGTCTGTGAAAAAATATCGATATTTTAGAAATCGATTTGTTGTTAATCGATACATCATCTCTTTATTTCTATATTCTACTTTCAAAAAACAAGCCTCTTTATTTTTCTATATTCTCCTTTCAGAAATCAACATAAAAATGTTTTAAAATTATGCAGGTAATATGATTCAGTGTTTAATAAATACTTTCTACTTATATAAATATATTGTTTCATTTCCAAAACCAACACTTACTGGTAGTCTTTGGTTAAACCTAGGATGTACCAAACTCTAACGGTAAAAGCACGAAAAATCGTTGCATTTTATATCAATCCTTACATTTACCAGCTCATGTTGGTAAATCCTAGGATATAAAAGTAAAACCTAAGATTCACCAAAATTCGGGCTTTTACAGTAACATTTATAAAGCATAGATAAAACATAATATGTACGCTAGTAAGAAGGGCACACTGAAATGATCGGGAATAGAATATTTCGGATTGAGTTACAATAAAACCTTTTTTAGAATTTGAATACTGGCCTCTTAGAATCTTGATGACATTCAAACAATTAAAAACAAAAACTATGTTTGTTTAAAGTTGACACGTCGTTAACAGAAATGGAGCTCACGCGTGAACATTTCCGTGTCATAATTTATCACAATATTCGTCGCGGCTTATCTCAAGATAAATGTCTCAGCGAATTTGTTTCGATTTATGATGTTGAAGCACCTAGTCAAACGACAATATACCGCTGGTATGCCGAGTTCCCACGTGGTCGTGTGTCGTCCAGCACTGTTTCTTCTGCAGGTCGACCAAGAACAGCGATCACGCCTGAAAACATCGCAGCTGTGTGAACTATCATATTAGATGTCCGTCATGTGACATGCGAGTAGATTCGGGCTGTTATCAGTATTGGAATGACTGCAATTCAGTCGATATTATATAATGAGCTGTGTGTAAGAAAGCTAGTTTCCCTCTGGGTTCCCCACAATTTGTCCGAAGAGCAAAAGGCAGCTCGTGTAGATTGGTGCCGGAATACTCTGCAACGCTTCAACGGAGAGAAATCAAATGCCGTTTATAATATCGTCTCAGGTGACGAATCATGGATTTATTCATACGAACCTGAAAGAAAACATCAGTCAGCAGTTTGGGTCTTCGAAGACGAGGTTAAACCAACGAAAGTGGTTCGCTCCCGCAGCGTGTCAAAGAAAATGGTCGCTACGTCTGTCTCGAAAAAGGGGCATATTGCTACAATTCCTTTACAGGAACGCAGAACGGTTACCGCTGAGTGGTATATCACGGTTTGTTTGCCAGGAATGATAGCCGAACTTCGAAAAAATAACCCGAAACGTCGCATCATCCTACATCACGATAATGCGAGCTCCCATATGGCTCGGAAAACAAATGATTTTTTGAAGCAGGAAAACGTTGAGCTGATGAGCCACCCTCCGTACAGTCCTGACGTGAATCCAAACGATTTCTTTACATTCCCTAGAATGAAAGATTTATTACGCGGTCAACGGTTTGAAGACCCCGAAGCAGCTGTGGAAGCGTACAAATCAGCCATTTTGTCAACATCAACTTCAGACTGGAATTACTTTTTAATAATTGGTTTGCACGAATGGAAAAGTACATTAAGTTGAACGGAGAATACTTCGAAAAACAATAAAATACAATTTAGCTATACCGTGCATGTGGTTTTTCTTATTCCCGATCATTTCAGTGTGCCCCTCGTACTTTTTATTATTATGTGCAAAAAGTATGAAATTACAGTTTGTAAACATGTACTTACAAGGAAATATAATGGTATTTCTCGTTGAGCTTCTGTGCTTATTTGTTATTGTCGATTGTGGTAGGGCGTTGGATAATTCAAAGTATATTACAGGTACAATTAAGCCCGCTTTTCACTACGGGATATAATGTAATATATATTATATCGAGATATAAATTAATATCACTCACCGTACTTTTAAATGGAACCGTTTACACTGAGATGTCATATATTATATTACATATCATACTATAAATATTTTTTCGATCATCCGAGCGATATTTTCATATTATATTTCGCCCCATATACCCCGCACATCGTTCCGCGCCGCCGCTACGTCCTCAAGTTCGTGTCTGTCATTAACTGAATGAACTTTTGCGTGTTTGAGTGCGTATACACATTTGTATTCGTAACTTGTCTAAATAGAATTCATTAAATCGTCTAAATACACCATATTCCTCCTAAACTTTACGAGTATATGATTTGATATCCAGTATCGACGCTCCCTGTTTTTACTTAAAAGTAACATACATAAACCGAATTCTGCATCATCTTCCTCTGATGAACTGTCTATATCTAGCAAAACAATATCCATTTTGTTGGAAAGACAGTTTTGTTTGCAAACGACGCCTGCGGTGTAATCCACTGAAGGACGCACACCGGTTAAAAGATAATATATCTCACAGTGTGAAAGCCAATCGCGGGATATAAATTATATCTCAGAATATAATATAGGTATAGGTATATTATATTATATCTCATAGTGTAAAGCGACCTTCATACTAGTACTTCTGTTCACTCTCCACAGCTCCACAGCATTACTCACGTCTCTAACTTTATCGAGAACTCTACAGATTATCACTTTACAGGTACTATAATGGATGCCATACACGATCCAGTTTACCGTCAATTTTGCAGCACGCTTGAAGCGGCGTCAAGTTTTCAGTACATCCATATAGATCACACGTTCAAGTTCGCTGTCAAGTTTGCATGATGCCGCATCCGTTGAAACCATGGTGTCTCTGTTATTTGCTCCGACTAACGTCATGCATACTAGACCGCTCATACACACGTTCAAGTTTGCATGACGCTGCAAGCTTAATCAAGTCGGTAGAATCGAAATTCAATTTTAGCTTGAAGTAGACTTGTCATGCACACTGATAGCCATACACCGTCAAGTTTACTGGATGCTGCTTCAAGCGTGCTGCAAACTTGACGGTAAACTGGATCGTGTATGGCATCCATAACATAGATTAATTATTATTACTAGGTAGCGAAGAGTATATAACCACTACGTTCACTTGGTAGCTAGCTTTGTCTGTCAATCAAATGTCAATGATGTGTAGCTTGCTACATATATATTTATCTATGTCAATGATTAAATTACAGAAATTTATAAACGTATTTAAATTAACGTAATATGTGATAAATTTATTATTTTTAAGAATAAAGTGATAATAAGTATTAGATACTGTTGATATGTGTACAACTGCTTTAAAGGCAATCAATCTAATTCCAACAATAAAGAAACTATTGAGCTTCGCGGGAGGATTCGGCTTAGGACAATTATACTATGTCTTCTTTTTAAAGGACATCCATCTTCCACATAAAACTGGAGAATTTGTATCCATTATTATAAGTATTTTACTAGGTAAAAAAAACATATACAAATACTATGTTATCAGTATTGAAATTAGATTTCTATTAAAATGTAATGCGATGGAGTCGACTGGGGCTGAATTCTAAATCTACAGAACAAGATCATGCATTGATAAATTTAAGAAATCCCAATTTATTAGAACACTATAATAAATTTATACGTGGTAGAGCCATGCTGCAGCTATATTGGTAGTATAGTTGTAGCACGAATGGGTCGGGTCTCTCACAGAATACCAGCGTAAAATAGCAGCTAAACACTGCTGTGTTTCGTATGGTGAGTGTAGAGAACCGGAGACCCTTTTTACTCGAAAAGAGGGATTCCATCTTAGTCCTCACGGGTGGCAACGCATCTGCATTTTGATTTTTTATTAAGGATAGATGTAGATGTCTATGGGTCACAGCAACCACACTACATCAGGTGAACTGTGTGCTCGTTTGTCACCCTATCCTATAAAAAAATATGTTATTTTATGCTGCGTAAGAGAAACCACTACTCTATTATACCATCATATATCATACTGTGTGTCGTAAAAGAGGACATAGGGAAGTGGAACAGGGGTTGGGCAATAGTATGTTCCGGACAACAATCTATACATCTATACAAATAAATAAACTTGAAGTGTCTGTTTGTAATGTCAAAATTACAGCTTTTTACTAATTGCATATGAAAGTATATACGGTACTTATAACAAAAACACAATTTTTAAAATTTTTATCTGTCTGTCTGTTTGTTTGTTCCGGCTAATCTCCGAAACTGCTAGACCGATATTGACGGGACTTTCACTGGCAGGTAGCTGATTTCATAAGGAGTAACTTAGGCTACTTTTATTTTAGAAAAATAATTAGGGTTCCGCGCCAAAACATAAAAACCCTAACACGCGAGCGAAGTCGATTAAGAATTTGCTCTCCCCTGCGATTAAGAATCAAAATGCAGATGCTTTATTACCCCTGAGCACCAATATGAAATGCCTCGTATCCCGAAAAAAAAAACTCCGGCACTCACACAGGGGTTCCCAAACTTTTATTGGAACTCTCATCAAATCCCTTTTATTTTATGGAATGCCACATCAAATGACTACATATCATAGGCAGTGCAATTAAAATATTACAATATAATTCTCGCTAACTAAGTACTTACGTATCTACATAACAGTAATGGGTTTTTTTCATCACATATTTTGCGCCAATTCAAAATGATATTTGTACTAAAGTGTGAAAATAAATGATATTGCTGTTTTACCACCACTTTAGGAATGTCTGCTCTGCACTCACTATTCGAAACACAGCAGCATTAAGCTGGTATCCTATAGGAGCGTGGCCCTTCTCCAGTCGATTCATTCGTGCTATAACCATAATATAGTTGCAACATGTTTCTTCCACGTATACAAATTGTAGAAATAATGTATTCTTATTTATTAATCGACTTCAAAAAGGAGGAGGTACTGAATTCGACTGTATGTTTTTTTACGATTTTGATGACTTTTTATTAGAAAGCTGGTGCTTCTCATGTGGTCCCATATAAATTTGATTAAGATCTGACCAATAGTTTTTGAGTTACCTTTAATAGTTTATATTGAAGTCAGTTGTACAAAATTTTTAATTTTACCACTTGTTAAAAATATCAGTTTCAATAAATCGCCACGTTTGTAGGCCGATAGAAACCGATTTTGCTGTTTTTAAATGGCTGTAAGTATATTATGTTCGTATATAAGTAAACTTATTTGTATGTTTCGATGAAACTAATGTAAAATGTATTTAAAATGCACAGCTGTGTAAAGGTGTAATATACATATAGGGCGATATCATCTCGTGGGTGTTGTGAAAGGCGATGAAACTGAAACAGGGAATGAGCAGCAGCATCTTCCTGATAACAAGCGAAAGTGATAAAAAAAATTGGTTTGTCAACCCGCCTGTCAATCGTAGCAACTAAGGCGAAGCTTATGTTCAGAAGAGGACTTAAGGCCGCAAGTTCATTACATTAATCATACACATTTACACATATTAATATTATATAAATACAAAGAAAAACCGGTAAATATATAAAGCCTTCATAATCAATATTTTAATTTTAATCTTTAAGTAGTTTTTTAAAGTATGGTAGGTACTAAATGAGCAATGTGTGTAGTGTGTTTCTATAGGTACATAAACATATTTTTTACAGGCATCGGTAACGCTGTGTCCATACAATTGCGTTGCATATCTCTACTAATGTTTCCCATGTATTGTGGCAAGCCAGGTCGTGGAGTATTGAAGGCTGTCGTACTCACCTATGTAGTAGCAGGTATCGTTGAATTTTTTTTTTATAGAATAAGGATGACAAACGAGCACACAGTCCACCTGATGTTAAGCGGATATTATGGCCCATAGACATCTACATCTATCCTCGATTAAGAATCAAAATGCAGATGCGTTGCCACCCCTGAGGACTAAGATGGAATGCCTCGTTTCCAGTAAAAAGGGTCTCCGGATCTCTACACTCACCATACAATACACAGCAGCATAGAGCTGCTATTTTACCCTGGTGAATTGTTGTAAGTTAGTTTGCTAATGTGTATTGGCGAACTTCACATGTCTTCGAAATATATTTGTTTCTTATTTCTCAGACATGTATGTTTCCTCACGAGGTTTTCTTTCGGCTTCGTGCTCGGCACGTCGTAAATCAGCACTTAAAATTGCAATTAAAACTTTCATTGGTGCGGGTGAGGATCGAACCCGGTTGCTCGCGAACTGTGAAATTTACAGTGAGCGCTTAGCCCGCGAGCTATTATGGTCAAGGTAGCTTACTAAAAAAAACTTTTACTTAGTGTTCACGTAAATATAAGAAATGAGTACAAGTTCCCGAATGTGCGCCTAAATGCTTCTTAAATATTTTCAGGTCCCATAACAAATATGGGTTTAAATGCAAAGGAAATAGTACGAGTATTTGCTTGCAGCGCCCAATTGTCACATAACCTATCAGAAATTCGATATAAGTTTATGTCCAAACCTATCAAGACAGCGATTCTCAGGTCGAGATATGAAATAAACGAGTTCAAGGATGCGTTCAGGTTGCAATACAATCCTTATTCCATATACTAACTATTAATAATAATAATATCCTCCAGACCGAATTTCGATCACGGCGGCAAGTCTCAACGGAGACTAGCCATCGGCGCAGGACAGGATCATAGTACACGAGTGTATGCGCAAGCACAGGTGCACTCTCTATTGCCTCGCTCTCATAGTCCGCCGGGACGGTAATTCGAGACGACTGTAGAGAGATCAGGCGCAGGACCAACGGCTTTACGTGCTTTCCGAGGCACGGGGGTGAGACACCGCCAGCTTCCTGACTCCGGGCAGCTATTGAGAGTTTCTTGATGGAAAAGCTCAATAACTGATTTTTTGGCCCGACTCGGGAGTCGAATCCGGGACCTCACGATCAGCAGTCGCACTATTACAACCACTAGATTAACGAGGCAGTCGTACTAACAATTATTGTACGGATCTCTACCATAAATACTTTTACCTATGTACAGGAAAAGGTATAGGTCAAAGAACCCACTACCCATGTAGCAAAAAGGTTCTCGTGTCGAAGTCTCGTACCAGTAAGTGAAGTATATGGCATTCCCTCACTTGATGGAGTGACGACCTTGTAAGACAATAGATACAGGTGGCTCTGTGTTTTGAAGCATTGCTCGGAGGTAGCCTATGTTCAGAAGTGGACTTGTGAACGAGGGCTGTAATAGTGTTGATGATGTTTAGACTAAAACGTAGGAGGATATGATGTAAGATACACCTCAATAAAATATTCTGTGAATATGACATCTAACTTTTTTTTTATAGAATAAGGGTGACAAACGAGCACACAGTCCACCTGATGGTAAATGGATGTTGTAGCCCATAGACAATTAATACATCTTCCTTGATTAAGAATTAAAATGCAGAATGCGTTGTGATCTCGAAGATGGAATGATCTCGGCTTCTCTACACTAATTATACTCTACACTGGTATTCTGTGAGAGCGTGGGTCTACCCCGGTCGAGCCGACCCATTCGTTTATTTTATAGAATAAGGGTGACAAACATTGAGTTAATTATGTACTACGTACTAGAGAAGCTATTCCAAACAAAAATTGTGCGTTACTCTATGTCTTCGCGCATGCGCGGGAGATAGTAAGAGTCGCGCATGGGCGAAGACTTTAATTTAATAATATAAGATATTAATATAAAATAAATATAATAATTTAATATAAAATACTCTTATTTTAATCTAAACAAACATATTTCTAAATAAAATGTAATAATAATTATCTTATGGAATTCACAAAAATAGTCAATTTACGCAATATTTATTTTAGTGTACGGATTGCAGTACAGTTCAGTTGAACATAGTCAATGTTCTGTATGTGAAATCTAGTGCGTAGTACATATATATCGACGGTGACAAACTAGCACACAGTCCACCTGATGGTACGTGGTTGCTGTGGCCCATAGACATCTACATCTATTTTCGTTTGCGAATTAAATTGGAGATGCGTTGTCAGCCGTGAGGACTAAGATAGAATGCCTCTTTTCCAGTAAAATAGGTCTCCGATTCGTGCTACAAGTATAATATAGCTACAGCGTGGCAGCCTCGCTTACACGTAGTAAAGCCACGCCGTGGCTTTACTACGTGTAAAATATACCTATATGGTATAATTTATCTTAATAATATCTTTAAGGCTTGTAATGGTGGTAACGAATTGTTATGAGCAATTTTGACTGAGAATCCTCCGATATATTATAGCGTCGTAGTGGTGTGTTGCGTTGGGAGTTCAATAAGATCAAAAATCATTATATAAATCTTATATTGACTTAACATTAACATGATATATAGAGGATTAACAAATTTAAAATATTATATTATATATTTAAAATATTGTGTCATGTCTTCCTGGCTGTTCATACTGTATCTCGACAGCTGTTTACAGAAGCTGAAAGATAGCTGTTTGGGTGTGATATTGGGTGACATAAAAGTAAATTGTCTGCTGTATGCTGATGATGCAGTGCTTATTGCACCATCAGAGGCAGAACTGCAGGCATTAGTAACGTGTATGAAAGAGGAATGTGAAATTAAAGGTCTCCGTTTGAATGCTAATAAAACTAAGGTTCTGGTATTTGAAAGGGACGAAGAGAGAACGAAGTGTGAAATATGGGTAAATCAGGAATGTCTAAAACAGGTAAATGAAATTGTATACTTGGGGGTGCTTTTAGCCGGGATGGAAGATGTGATTTAGATGTGGACAGGCGTGTCGCTGCCGGGAACAAAGTCAATGGTGCCCTGACTGCGTTAGTCAAAAGGCAAGGCGTAGCGAAGAGTGCACGCCTTGCAATACATAACGCAGTGTTGGTACCGACTTTGTTATATGGCAGCGAAACCTGGGTATGCCAGAAGAAGCATAAAAGTAAGTTGAATGCAGTGGAGATGCGATCTCTTCGTAAAATGTGCGGCGTTACCATGGCCGACCGAAAGCGAAACGAAGAGATTCGCAATATGGCAGGTTTGAAAGATGACCTTATCACAAAAATTGATAAGGGCGTGCTTCGGTGGTTTGGGCACGTTGAGCGAATGAGTGAAGACCGAATGGTGAAGAAAATATATAGCGCGAAAGTTAATATTAAAAGGTGTCGAGGTAGACCGAGACTAACTTTCGAAGACCATGTGAGCAAATTGCTCGAAGAGGGTATGGTCAAAAGTACTCGGATACCTAGACGTGCATGCATGAAGAAGATAATGAATCTGAAAGAAGCGAAAGAGGTTTGTAAGGATCGTGACACTTGGCGATCTGTTCTCTCTGGCTACCCCGTCAGGGATTGTGCGTGAAGATAAGTAAGTATCTAATTTCAATAATAGGCAATTGACTCAAACGAACAAAGAAAGAAAGACAGAACGTTGCATACATTTCAAGTGCCACAAAAGAAAGATGTGAGTACATGTCAAGAAGTTGATCATGTTTTCTGAATCCCTTGAAATGTAGGTACCCAGCGCTCTGTATATCCTTCTTTGTTGGTCTGAGACTGACGATAATTAGGTATAGGTACGTATTATTTAAATTAATGTCTTAATCTACGTATGAAAATAATGGCTGTTATTATAAAATTCAAAGCGGATTTTGGTTGTTTCAAGATCCATCTATGAAATCACAACGCCGTTTGAAAATGAAATAGAAACATCGAAGGAGTTGGAACGGATTGTACACCAAAGTAATATCGTGGATGATTTTTTTGGCAACAAACATCGATCCGAGAAAATCGAGAAGAAATATCAGTTCGTAACATAAATACGTTTTCTCTAAAAGTAGACTCCATTATCAAAGTCGTGTCTATAGTCATTAGACAGAATAGGAAAAGGAAATATTAAATCTAATATAATTAATAGAATCAGGCGTTACTTTGCGGAAATCCATTATATAAAAGCTTTTAGAAAAATTTACTTCGCAAATATCCGCGTTATAAAATAAAATGATGTGTCTTACCTAGTATGAAGAGCACCTCCCGCCCACCCTCAATTTTATAGCGCGGATATTTGCGAAGTAAATTTTTCTAAAAGTTTTTAAATATTAAATCGTCGGAAACAATGAGATAGTTAAAAAGAAAGAAGTAGTAACAGTCCCAGGTTTATGTACCTAGGTGCTAATTTGCCTAACAAGTCGTAAAAGGCTACTAATGGGATATTGGGCTTGGGATTAAGTGCGCGATGGGCTAGCCACCCATCACTTCTTTCAAAATTTTACATCTAAACCCATATTTTAGGCTAAACTTGGATTCTGCCTACCCCCTCTGGGATTACAGGCGTGACGCTATGTCGGTAGTAAAAGAAAAGAAAAGAAAACTCTTTCAAATAGCAGCGTTGGTATCTCATTAGTATAGGCCGCGTACAGGATCGGCGAAAGACAGCTGCCCTGTGGTACGCCAGCTCTTATTGGTTTAGCTGCGGACTCGGCATCCTCGACACAGACGTAGAACCTCCGGTCAGCTAGAAATGACTAATTTACAACGACTTATGGTGACAACACTATAGTTTTACTATGACAACACTACGATAAACTTAGTTTTCTATGTCCCTGTCGAAAGTTAGCAATTTGGAATTTATTAGGTACCTACTTCTATAACTGTCTTAATATTTAGTTGGTTTACCTTTTTTGAGCTAAATTAGATTTTTTTGACTCAAACGTATACAGATAAGACGTTTATTTGACCAGTACATAAAACTATGATTTCATTTACTAGTACATATTTCCATACAATTTCTATTGAGTTTCGTTTTGACATGTGTGCTAAAAAGTATTTGAGTGCTAACTGTAGTGCAGTTATTCTGCAAACTTAACACTTCTTATTAGTTTGTGAAACTTAAAAGCAGTGTTAGTTCCGTCCCGTCATAATATTAGGCTATACCCTGTAAAATCAAATATAATTATCATTTTTCTCCGCATCATTTTTTAAAAAAAAGGCACTATACCAGTAAGGCCTGTTGCCGCATGATTGTTGTCATGAAAGTAAATAAAACGAAATGTCTGAAATGACCAGAGCTAACAATTTTATCGATACGGGAACAGCGGCCAAGATTTGATGGATCTAGTAATGCGATTCCCAATCTGCCGTTTTAGGCGTTCGTAATCACCGCCGTTACGACCAATACCATTTAATACTTACGTAAACAATTAATAAAACCCGTATTCATTAGTAGGTCGTGTATTCATTCATACATTTTTTTTATAAGATAAGGGTGATAAACGAGACACAGTCCACCTGATAGTAAATGGCTGATGTGGCCCATAGACATCTACATTTATCTTCGATTACGAATCAAAATGCAAATGCGTCGTCACCGGTGAGGACCAAGATGGAATGCCTCGTTTCCAGTAAAAAGGGTCTCCGGTTCTCTACACTTACCATACGAAATACAGTGTTAAGCTGCTATTTTACGCTGGTTTTCTGTGAGAGCGTGGTCCTTCCCCGGTCGAGCCGACCTATTCGTGCTACAACTATACTACTAATATAGCTGCAGCATGGTTCTACCACGTAAAAAGCAATTACAGCCAATCAAAGCACACTGCTGAACATAGGCCTATTTACCACGCTTGGCAAGCAGGGACAGTTCTTTTTAAATATTTTGCGTTATTTTCTGGAAGAAGATGCTGCCCATCCTCTTTTTTTCCTGTGGCCTGCCACGACACCCACCGGTGATATGGCGTATGGGGTAGTGTATTCTTTAAACCAACTAGAATTTAGTCGAAATTAATAAATTTTGTAGAACGACGACCAAACTAAAGAAGGAGATATATCAGAACAAATATCTCAAGAAAGTTGAATATCGATGTGAGAATCAGATAACGCAAGGTATTTTTAAATGTGCGGAGATGTTCGACCCAGCGTATGAAGCCTGCTGTCGCGCTGCCCCAGCGTATGCTGCAGAAACTTTATGCTATCCATTAACAGTTGAATTCGCATGCAATATCATGCACTTTATTGATTCGCCTGATATATGCGATGGAAGGGAGCAGGTAAAACTTAGATTCGATGTTTTGTTAGTGCTATTTTACGATCGTATTCTGTGAGAGTGTGGTCCTACCATTCGTGCTAAAACCACAATATAGCTGCATCGTGACTCTGCAGCTCTCTCTACCACGTAGAGTTGTAAATACATCTACATTACTTACATTCTTATTTGAGGACAGATGTAGATGTTTATGGCTGTGGCCCATCTACGTATTATCAAGTACACTATGTGCTAGTTTCGCTCGTTGTCAATATATTACATAAATAAATAAAAGCATAGCCGTCTATCAAAGGCGTTTGGCAATTTTCGGCAAGTTCCCATAACAATTCTCTCGACTCGGGACGGAATGTGTTAATGAATTTTCTTACTTTGTCAAAAAGCCATAAAAAGGAAATCATTTAAGTAATTAATAGTTTTACAACAATAATTTGCTCTATGGTCGCGTTATAGGAATACCCATCCCATTTCGTTGCGTGGATGTCGTACGAGGCGACTATGAAAAAGACAGAAAGCTGATGGCTTTCGATAGATGTTGGTAAACCATCTTAAATGAGCAGAGGCCTGCAGAGCGTAGCAAGTATAGGGAATCCTGCAAACTGAAAGCAGTAAAATGGCCAGATAAAAAAGAAAAGAATCAACAAAAGTAAGTAAGGACAGAAATTTGTACGTGGTAGAGCAGAATACCAGCGTAAAATAGCATCTTAAGGCTGCTGCGCTTCGTATGTTGAGTGTAGAGAACCGGAGACCCTTTTTACTGGAAACGAGGCATTCCATCGCGGTCCTCAGGTCTGACAACGCATTTGCATTTTGTTTCTTAATTGAGGACAAATCTAGATATCTTCAGCATCCACTTATCATCAGGTAGACTGTGTACACGTTTGTCACCCTTATCCTAGAAAAGAAAAACATTTTTCTTGGCAGATTGACCCTGGTTTAGGAGAGGGATATTACTACCTGAAAAAATTAAAAGAAGAACTTTTGAAGAACGTAAATGATATTAAATTACAGTATAAGGTTACGTATGAAAATGAGCTGTATAATGTGCAGGTTTGTTGCATTACAATATTTAAATATCTACCAGTCAAGTCGGTAACTTTTACTGTTATAAAAATAATTTCTTAAGTTTGTTTTTGTATAATCATTTATTTCAATTTCATCAGAGCAGCCGAGATAAGTAAATTACCAGCTTTTAAATATCATTCAAATCGCCTATTTATATAACAATTATTTACTTAGGCTTTTGTTCTAATCTATACAGAATAAATCCTGTATCTTCTATGCATTGTAATGTAGCAAATTTAAAAAAATATGTAGCCAATAAAATAAGATCGCTTGTGCCTTAGGCCTACTCGCCATCAAACGTAAAAGTATGGCGAGTTTAAAATTAAGTAGCACCACTGTATCATAAATTCATTAATGAATAAAGTAAAAAAAAGTAACCTTATAATATAATATATAATAAGGTATATAATTACGTACGTAGAAAGTTATAGTCATTGCACTGTCAAAAACGACGAGAAAAACATTGAAGTTAGTGTTGTATTATTGAATTATAAAAAATAATAAAACAAATCCAATAGTCGTTAGATATCATTAAAACGTATACGGAATCACACAGGAAAATATCGGTAAATAAAAAACCAAATAAATAGGTTAAGTAATCTCGGAGATATGGAGTTAGGTACTTGCATTTTTTTTTAAATCAGATTAATTGGTTGAGTAATCTCGGAGGTATCGAGTTACCTGTATTTTTCTTCTTTATCAGCCCGTAAAAAGTCTACAGCTAGACATGGACCTGTACGGTTGCAGGGAGCAATTGCCGTAATCGTCGCGCTTGGCAAGCAGACTGAAAATCGTAGTGCCAAACGTCTCGCACCTTTGACGCTGCTGCCGGTCTGGGCCTAGGTTATTATACTAGAGTCTGGGTATACGTCTGACGTAAACAAGATACCGTCTTCTGTCAATTTAATTTTAAGACATTATAATTTCAATTATTGGTTACATTTACATACATTATTAGGTAGTAAATTAGTAATATGATAGTTAAGATTACATTATGTTAATGTTAGAAATTTCATTTTAATTTAAAAAAAAATATCTTGTAATTAATTCGTTTGCACACCAGGAGGTAGAATATGGCTGTATGGTTACATTTACATACATTATTAGGTAGTAAATTAGTAATATGATAGTTAAGATTATATTATATTAATGTTAGAAATTACATTTTAATTTTTATAAAAATATCTTGTAATTAATTCGTTTGCACACCGGGAGGTAGAATATGGCTGTATTTTATTATATTATTAAGACCTATTGTAATCCATATATCGCAAACAAATAAATGAATTCTCTTATGAATTAAGAAAGAAATCTAAAAACTCAAGCCATAAAAAATAGCTGGCATTATTGTGGATTTTACGACATCCACGAGACGAAATTAAGTGATGGATTCTCTTATTCCTCTCATTATATTATATATTGTACATATATCTACATATATGTATTATATATAATCTTCTCATTAAAGGAAAAACATAAGTAGAAACACGGATTGCAGTACCGCGTCGGCCTAATTGTTTCAAAACCCTCTCAAAAATGAGTTAAGGTCTGGCCCGTGCCCAGCAGTGGAACATAGAAAGGCTGTAACTTTTTACAAAATTGAAAATACAGTCGATTTGATGATTAATTTAATTTTCTCTATAAGGATGCGAGAGAGACAGGCAAGCGGGTACTGCACGAATTCGAACAGAGAGGCACAAGCATGCAATATGTGGTCAGCGTGGTGAACATCTGCCTAGCGCTGTTGCTGCTGCGCATCCCATTCGCCGCTCAGAGTTACCACGACCTGTACCTCACCAGCATCACATACGACAACCTGTATATCACTTCATATTTTAAGCAAATTGATCAAAGACGGAAGTTGAAGAACAAATATACGTTGCTTCCTTTGAAGAAGGTATTAAGTATGAGTTTCATATTGTTATACTCGTACATAAATCCGCCAAGTTCGAATAAATCCAGCGACTACTTATATAATATTGCGGAGAAAAGGTGATGATTTGGTAATCGCATCACTATTATTCGTACTAATTTCGTACCAACGTTTGGTTTTAAAGTAATTATCACCGTAGATGTTTTACCATCTTTGAAATGGAAGACTAATAATTTAAAATTTTAAATTTTGTACAACCGACTTCAATATAAATTATTAAGAATAACTCAAAATCTATTGGTCAGACCTTGATCAAATTTATATGGGACCAGATGACAAGCACCAGCTTTTAAATAAAACAAGAATCATCGAAATCGGTTCACCCCATGAAGCAAATACAAACTTTGTATTAGCTTCATGGTTCACCCAGTAAAAAGTTATGAGGTAACACACATTAAAAAAACTTACAGTCGAATTGAGTACCGTCTCCTTTTTGGAAGTCGGTAGAAAACCTTATTCATAAATCAGCAAATATCGGCAATTCCAACTATATATTTTTCCTTTATCAATTTCGTCTACCTTTCTCATAAAATATTTGAGTCGTTAACACTAGTGCGTACTCAATAGCTCTTAGGCCTGTTATAATATACCTAGTCAGGTCATAAATTCTGTCACATGTTTAATATAAAAAAATTGAAACAAGTTTATTCATTATGTAACCATTTATATACCACTTGGAAGGGAAGGACAAATTGGCCTCTAAAAAGCTTGGCGTGCTCAGCAGAGCGAGACGGTATTTCATGCCGGCACATCGCTTGCAACTCTACAAAGCGCAAGTTCGGCCTCACATGGAATACTGTTCTCATCTCTGGACCGGGGCACCCCAGTGCCAGCTCCTTCCACTTGACCGCATCCAGCGCAGAGCGATTCGAATCGTCGACGACCGAGTTCTTTCTGATCGGCTCGATACACTGGCACTGCGTAGAGATGTTGCATCTCTTTGCGTATTTTATCGCATCTATCACGGGGAGTGCTCTGAGGAATTGTTCGGACTAATTCAAGCCGCTCAATTTCACCATCGCACATCGCGACAAATCTCGCGTTACCATCCATACCATCTGGATGATTGGCGGTCCACCACTGTGCGATTTAGAAGAAGTTTTCTCCCTCGCACAACTTCCTTGTGGAATCAATTACCACCAGCGAGTTTTCCGGACCGATACGACTTAGGAGCCTTCAAGAAAAGAGCTTACACCTTTCTAAAAGGCCGGCAACGCATCTGCAATTCCCCTGGTGTTGCGGTTGTTCATGGGCGGCGGTAGTCACTTACCATCAGGTGAGCCGCATGCTCGTTTGCCCACTATTCTATAAAAAAAAAAATACCAAAATGAACTTAACAAAACATAGATGCTTATGACACTAAAGTTTATTCAAAATGATCTCTGTGATTTTGAATACAGGCCTTCAATCTGCGCGGCCAGTCGTCTATCGCAGTACGAACGAGGTCCATGTCAATATCGGCGGCTGCCTTAATCAAGGATGTCTTGAGTGACTCCAAATTGGGATGAGGCTTTGAGCACGCCTTTTCCCCCAAGTGTTGCCATATATTGTAATCTAACGGATTCTGAACTGGAGAATCTGGACTGGAGGAGGGCCAGTCTTCGTGCCGGATGAAGTCAATTTTACGCGCCGCCAGCCATTCTTATGTGCTCTTGCTCTATGAGCTGACGCCGAATCTTGTTGGAATACCCAGTGCCTATTATTGAACATGGTATGAGAAACAGGTTCCACAAGGTTCGTCAGGACTGTATTTTGATACACAACTCGTTTCGTTTTTACACCTTTCTCACAAAAATGTACCTCTGTTAAGCCCCAATAAGAAACTCCCAACCATACCATGAGCGAGGATGGAAAATGACCTCGTTGGCCACGCGGAATACGGTTGCTCGCTTCTTCACTACTGTGTGCGTACACCTTATCATTTTGTTTGTTGTAGCTCTCTTCTACGGTAAAAATTTTTTCATCCGAAAAAAGAATTTCCCGATATTTTTTTCCCGCGTACCGCTTCAACAAAGCGCGGCATCTCTTCAGTCTCAGGTCCATTAGACGAGCATTCAAACGATGTCCTGTTTTTCTTCGATATGCCCGAAGCCCTAAGTCTTCATTTAACACCCTTTTCACCGTGGTTTAACCCCATCTGAAGGGCCAACAGTTTCTGCTTACGTTTGGGATTTCTTTGAATTCGCGCCTTCACAGCTTTTATCACTGCTGGAGTCCTAACAGACCGAGGGCGACCACTTCTTGACCTGTCATCTACACCAGAGTCTTCATTGTATCGTTTGATGGTACGATAAACGAATCTTTTGGTTATATTCAAAACTTTCAGTATGTCAAAAATTTGAATTGGCGCGTAACGGCAACGATGCAACGCAATAACTGCAACACGGTCTTCTTTAAGCGTCCACTCCATATTTAAAAATGAGTAAAATTCTAAAAAGTATACAGTTTTATTTTCATGAACAATTCGAAATTCGAATTCAATTAACTTTTTTGTGGCCAGCATTCTAAAAGAAAAGTTTTTACTGTGTGACAATACTTATGACCTGACTAGGTACTGTACCTAAGGTACATGGAGTAACATAGTAGGTACCTATATCTGCAGCATGGTTCTACCACGTAAAATGTGATCTCCTGATTTGGATAATTTCTTTTCATTTCATTCGTCGTAGGTATTTAAATTACAAATTAAATTTAGAGGATTTACTTTATGTGCGCATGGGACTTGGTGGTTCATTACTTAAGTGCTTATTAAGTACTAAGTAGGTAATAGGTATAATAAGTTCGGGTGTTTTAAAGAACACCGGAACTTATGCATCACACCTGGAATCAGTCATAGTTAAGTTTTTATCAGTAACTAGCGATCTGCCCCGGCTTCGCATGGGTGATTTCTGGATCTCGACAACAGTGCCACCTACCGGGTGCAAATGTGAATCTGAACCATCTAGACACACGTTCAAAGCCATACGGCTAAGCCGTTTTTGAGGTTTAGTAGAACCTTACATACCCACATGTAGGGTGTTATATTGTTTGTGTAGATGTCACTATTATATATTTAATTTATTACGCTTTTAAAACGAAATAACGAAAAAACAAAAAAAATCAACGTTAAGAATTTTAAAATTATTTCATAAATCGAATTATTTAAACATACAAATGTAAGTTAATCATATTATTTAATCTATTATATATATACTGAAGGCAAAATATACTACTTTTTCAATTTGATGATAGATAGCGCTGTTATGAAAAGTAATGGGGTAGTTGGCGTACTTTAATACTATTACACAACGGTTAAAATTTATTTTAAATTTAAAGTAAAATTATTTTTAAATATGGTACTTATTTGAAAAAACACCCATCATCCTGCCTATAACTAACAGAATCATATGTATATAATAGAAAATTAATATCTAAAGAAAAGAAAGTACTTGACCTTGTTTTTTGGAATTTCGCAATCGGATAAAAAGTAGCCTATAAATTTCCCCGGGTTAATAATAACTAGTTACATACAAAATTTCATGGAAATATTTTTAGTAGTTTTTGCGTGAATCTTGAATACACAGGCAGACAGACAAAATTTTTAAAAACCACTAATTTGACTTCAGTACACTTTATTTAGTCCCTTGGCCTTGGTTTTTAAGAATATATTAGAATTACAGACACGACTTTTCTACAGATTTATTATAATATGTATAGATTCTGTACATGGACAAGATACTTTTTTTTAATTCCACGTGATCGATGTCACGCTCGTTCAAACAATTTTTTTACTCAAAACTGTAGTAGTATAGTATATTTTTCAATCCACTTCTAAAAGGCGGAGGTATGAGGTACTCAATTCAATGGTATTTTTTTATGTGTGTTACCTCATAACTTTTTTCTAGGTGAACCGATTTTGACGATTCTTTTTTTATTTGAAAGCTGGTGCTTCTCATGTGGAACCATATAAATTTGATCAAGGTCTGACCAGTAGTTTTTGAATTATCCTTACTAATTTATATTGAAGTCGGTTATGTATCAGTTTTTTTAATTATACCTCTTGTTATATTGGCACTCTACATTAAAAGTAAATTCGTAAATTAAAAAAAATAATCATTCGATGAAATTTATCAAATAATACATCAAGTTTTACTAGCATTTAATATATTTGATAGTATTTAAGGTCTGCATTTTAGATGGAACGCAACAAATACGTAGACGTCCACTCCTTTGAGTACAAATCATCGCAGCGTAGCAAGCTAGTTACACCAATTCTCAAGGTGATGCTGGAAGTGGTCACAGCGACTACCTTCGTCATGTTAGACCGCCTATTTTTCGAAGCTTTGGACGTCGTGCGAAAGCATGCAAGCAGTGAAATGACTCAACAAGGAACAAGGGATTTAGAAATAGAAGTAATTTTAGGAATGCATTTGCGTTTTTTGCTTCTATTAATTATAAATACTTATTTATATATTTTTTTTAATTATTAACATTTTTAATTTAAAAATTTTAATACTATATTGAAATATATAATGAAAATTATATAATTATTCAGGTAGAAGGTAATGGTACAGTCGCCACAATGATCCGCAACTTACTGAGCAGCTTGAACACGACGCGCTATGTTAGCGCTGTCACAAACAAACCGTGCTTACCGCAACCCAGTGCAATGCCCTCTATCTTCTTCGTCAAGATCTACTGCGGGTATCTGTGGATACTGATGCTGTTGTATTTAAACCCTTACACGTTACGGCTTAGAAGGTTCTGCATTTTTTACATTACAGCTACATAATTAAATATTGAACGAAAACTGTCAATAGATTTCAAGTATTCACTAAATGCGCCATCAGTTATTGCACCGGAATATTTTTTTTAATTAAACTGTTTGCCAATTAAGTGCTCCTTAAATGCTCTCTTAGAATCCCTAACGAAGGCCAATCCACGACTTTTTCTGCCACCAGGGCGGCGCCACATTACAGTAAGGTAAAATATTTAACAGATTTCATAGCGGGGACGATAATTTCTTAGAAAAATGTAATCTTTAAGGTTTCTTTCCGTATTATTAGTTATATTTTATATTAATTACATTAGAAATGAATAAACCAAACTATAAATATAACTAAAAGCCGATGTAAAAAAAAAAGAGTTATAAAGTGCAAAAAATTAAAAATTAAAAACCGCACTGTGTTGTGTATTAATATAATACTCTAGATAATGATAAACTATTACTTAAAACGAATTTCTCAATTAACTGACATTGTGTAACAAAAAACTTTACCTCAGTCACAACTAGCGACATCTGGTAAGCGGAAGATTATTAGTCCTCCTTGATCCACGTCTTTTACTATTAATTTATAATATTTTTTTTAAAATTCAGTTTGTGAAAATTTAATTTTGCTATAAAACATAAAATATCTACTTTTTAAATAAAACTGTATTTCAATTAATTGCTCCTTTTCTTTTAGAATCAGTAATTGCTCCACATCTATTGCTATTAGATAATATATAATTATTTAAAAAAAATTGAAAATTTAAATTTGCTATACTTAAAGCATAAAATATCTACTTTTTACTTTTAAATTAAACTGTATGCCAATTAATTGCTCCTTAAATGTTTTCTTAGAATCCGTAATTGCTCCACTTCTATTACGATATGGTCACCTTAAGCTTTACCGCCTTATAAAACCAAAACCAGGAGGAGGAGAGAGACAAATACACAATGTCGTATACTATAACTAATATAGAAAAAAAATAACAAACAAGCTTTGGCAATAATTAGCAACACTTCGAAAAATCAACTTAAAAAAAACTAACTATAGTACGTGAGGGTAATATGGTCATACGGTTAATATGGTCACTTTCTTATAACTCAAAAACTACATCGTCGTTTGCATAGAACTCTCTGTGATACGATAGCTCTTGATCAGTCTATCAAATAATAAAGGGTCAAAAAAGGCGCTGCTTTATCGACGCTATTTTGATAGTTGATATTATTGTAAATATTTTAGTCGATTTTTGTATTGTGTAGTGCAGTTAGTTTTTTAAAGTAGATTTTTCGAAGTGTTCCTAATTATTAAAAGCTTATTTGATATTTTTTTCTTAATATATTTGTTATAGTATACGGCTTTGTGTTTTTGTCTCTGTTCTCCTCCTAATTTTGGTTTTATAGGGCGATAAAGCTTAAGGTGACCATATTACCTTCACGTACTTACTATAATATCAACTGTCAAAATGGCGTCGATAAAGCGGCGGCCTTTTGACCCTTTATTATTTGAATCACTGATGAAGAGCTATCGTATCACAAAACCATCTATGCAAATTAGGCTCTAGTTTTTGAGTTATAAGAAAGTGACCACATTAACCAGATGACCATATTACCCTCACGTACTCTAATTAATTTTTAATTGCTCCACGTCTATTAAGATTAGTTAATTTATAGTTAATTTTGAGAAAGAGTGATCCCAAAGGTAATAAAATTAATATTAATCGGTAAGTTTTGAAATTATGAATTGTTATGAATAGACTGGACAAACATGATAATATTTTTTTTTGTGTTTAAGCTATCTAGCGTATTTTCTACGTACCACTATAAGAATTAATCAATTTTGGTTCGATAAAATGTCTTTACTTGTAGAATGAAGTAGATGGCGCTTTTAAAAAAATTAACAAGGGAGGTAATTTAAATCCGAATAAGGTAGAGCAGCGTTTATTTAAAATAACAATTTGTAAATTGTCATTAAAATAAATTTCTGTTGTCATAATATAAAACTTTGGTTTAATTAAAACAAAATTACATATACGATACATAATTAGTAATTAACAAACTAAACCGATAATGATCGAAGAAGATGATGCATTGTGACTGTGACACATATTATGTTGCATATAATTTTATATAAATAAATTAATGATATACACAATCTATGCTATTCAAAAGTTATTGATGAATAATTGAAATGTTTCCCTGTAACATAAAAGTTTCACTTCTATTGTGTGTCTTCACGACACACACTGTTTTATATTATATATCAATTATTATAAATATTGCAAAAATATAAACGAAAACGAAAATCGTTTTTTAATTAATAGAGCAAAGTGAGAGCAATTCTTTAGGCAAAAAAAAATTAAAAATAAATAAATAATAATATTAATAGACGTGGAGCAATTACGGATTGAGGACATCCACGACTTTTTCTGCCACCAGGGCGGCGCCACTAGAAAATGAGGTATAATATTTGACAGATGTCATTGCGGGGAAGTTAATTTGTTCGGAAAATGTAAAAGTTATCGTTTCTTTATGTACTATTAGCTATATTTTATATTAATAAAATTAAAAATAAATAAACTAAACCACAGATATTCATAAGAGTAGAAAAATTTTAAAAAAAGTTAGAAATGTGCAAAAAATTAAAGAGCAAACCACTGACGGATTGTTTTGTGTATTAATATAATACTGTAGAAACTGAAAAACTTTTATTAAAAAACAACTTCTCAATTAAATTACATTGTGTAACAAAATCTTTACCTCAGTGTCAACTAGCGACATTTGGTGAGCAGAAAATTATTAGCCCTCAATGAGGGCATACCGTTTAATTTAAAAAAAATATTCTACGCTGACTTCCTTCCGGTAGTTAGTGCCTAATAAGTTTTACGCGTTGTCCGTCTAGGAATCAAAAAAATATATCATGTTCTTTTGACAGTTGTCTGCATCTGGGATCGACATCGCACGGGTGATTTCTGGATCTAGGCAACAGCGCCACCTATCGGGTCCAAATGTAAATCGTTTAGATCATCCAGGGACCCACTCAAACACACACAAAAAATTTCATCAAAATCGATCCAGCCGTTTTCGAGTTTTAGTGGGACTACAGGAGCTATAGATTAAAAGCTTATTTTTTTTCGTGCGTGGAATTCCATAAATTCCGTTCGTTGTAATTTTTAAAAAGAATATTCTGACCAATTTTTTTTAAAAACTATATCTATAGAGCCCCTGCAAGGGCGTTACTCAAAAAAAATTACATTAACCGCCGCAACCCCCCTTGCGGGTGGAATTTCGTAAAACCCGTTCTCATGTGACCTTTACCTGGCGAAAGGAATATTCTAAATTTCTAGTCTCTAGGCCTTGGGGTTTCACAGATATTGCGATGAGGCAGTACATAGGTGGAAATCTCTTGTATAGTATATAAGTAGATGTAGATTAAACGCAACCTCACGCCTTTAAAAATATTTCAAGGAAGTTGTTTGCTAATATAACATGAGATCCATAGTAGCTCAAGGGGCTAAGATTTCGTCGTAACTCGGGGACCAAAGATCCGGTGTAGCTCAAGGGCTAAACGCTCGCCGTAAATTTAACTATACATGAACAAACCGAGTTCCATACGGGCCGCCACCGATGAAATTACTGATTGCAATTTTAAGTGCTGATTTGCTGAGGAAAGGAAACATCGTGAGGTAACCTGCACGTCTGGTAAATTAGAAAAAAAAAGTATGTTTCTAAGACATGTAAACTCCGCCAACAACGCTCGCAATTTTTTTTAGATTTGCTGCAACTTTAACCTATTATTTATTCTGGGCTTTGACTATGTGTGCAGGCAACATGGAAAAATCCGAGGCTCCGTCATCTTCTTAAATATGGCAGGGCTTTTCAAGCCGTGGGTTTCTAAGCTAGTAATACTTCTGGTAATACTAAATATGACATAATATTAACTGCTATTGTAATTTTAGATTAATATGTAGTTACTTCTACCCTCGCCGAGAGAAGCAGCGCATACTGCATTTGTATAACGACATTCTTAAAAAACGAATGAAAATGCAGAAAACACTCAGAAGGAAGGCTTTGCAGGCAGTACGCGCACACTACCTGTCCGGAGGGAACTTGCGTAGTTTGAGAATGAGGTTCCCTAGGCTTCTTGGCTGGCTTACAGTATTGCCAGCTGCTAGGATGCCTTGTCTTATTTGTGGGGAAACTGAACCTAGAAATATAAGTAAGTATAAAAATATTGTTTTATATCAATAGCGCTCTTTACTATAATTATATATTTTTTAGTTTTAGTTAATTTAAATTAGAAATGTGGCAAAAGATAGTGTGAAGTTTTATCTTGAAATCCTATAAATTAAATTAGGTAAAGGAACTTAATAACAGTAGTAATAATAAGAACATGAGCAAAATCAAAACGAACCGAACTAAATCAATTTATCGAAATTTGGCCAGTGACGAAATACTGTCATTTAATTCTCTATTTGTGCGTCCATCGCGCTATGTTTAACGTTACGAAAAGTTTCTGATTATTGTATTTTATAACGCTTATGCGCAAAATATAGCCAAAGTCACGGAAAAATCAATACGGCAGGGCAGACCTATATAGGTAGCGCAAGGCGTGGGCTACGTTGGCGATCGCCTACGGCCTCGCACCGGAAAGTTCGAAGAATTTTCATTCCAAAAAAATATTTTGCTAGATTTGCCTGCAATGAATTGTCTACAACATATATAGCGCGGAATTTCCTATCCCATTTGCTTCACGCTAAGTCGTGAACTACCTCAAGTCACAACAGTTGTTATAGATTATGGAATGAAGTAGTTTTGCCCCTAAAGCTCGTGCAGTGTGAGGAGAATAAGCGACAGGCTTTTCACGGATTTGTACAACCGTTAGAATTCTAGTGATTCTCTATAGTTCTATTTCTTCATGGTACTATTCGCGTCGTCAATGTTTGATAAAGCGACGTAGTTCGGGTGAATTAGGCGCAATTTTTTGCATTACTTTTTACCCCGTAACTTAGGCCGGGTCCAGACGAGTGTAACGTGTAATGTAAGATTAGGTGTAATTTAGCGTCAACAGTGTGGACGGCACACGAACTCAAAGCGAATTGTGTACGCGAAACTATTTCAAAAGCTGTTTCCACTCAGTTGCTACGAACATGCCGAATAGGAAGGTCGTGATAGCTGGTGCGGCTTTTATTTTCATGTATTTACTAACTGAAGACCGGAAACGTCGAAAGCGTCGATGGTGGAAAACTAAATTGTATAAAAGAAGATCTTCTTTACTTGTAGAACTAAAATCTCAGCATATAAGTGGTCAGTATAAAAACTTTACCCGGATGTCGCCTACTGACTTCGAATATTTGTTAACAATCATTGCGCCTAAAATACTGTTACGAGCTTGAGGTTCGAGACAATTAAAAACGGCCGATTAAATTACCAAAATTGACACTTTAATTACGGATACTAATTACACCTTAAAACACACTAATAATAAAACACAGTTCGCCGTTATTTCGCTTCGAAGTATTCTCTTGTATCGCCAATTCAATACTGCCCCGGTCGTGGTCTATACCGGCCTTATATAGGGCTTCAGATAGTTTCCAGAACCTTCTACTGTAGCGACATCTAGAATGTTCGAGTACATATCGGTCCCGAAGTTTCTGGAAGGATCTCGACTCTCCTAGTTCTGCTACTCGACACTAGAGGGCGCTAATGTAACTAGTGTTGCCATGTACAAGACATCAATAGTCGCGCGTAACACTGCCCCCTCCTAAGACATGCTCGTCCCGAGCATTATTGGCCCCATAATAACGCGCCAGTCGATCCACATGAACAATCTTAGGAGTACCTCTGGCACCTTTCTGTATCCGGTAGGTTACGTCATTGATCCTTGTCACAATCCGGTACGGTCCGTCCCATTTAGGTTGAAGCTTAGGAGATTTCCCTTTGCTGCGAACTGGATTGTGTAACCACACTAGTGAACCTTCATCAAACCCCTTGTTGTTCATTTTGCGATCATACCGTGTTTTCATCTTCTCAGACGTTTGCTGGCCCGTCTGTCTGACGTGCTCATAAATGTCATTCATTTTGTTTCGCAAGTCATTTGCATAATCGGTTACACTGCGTGGGGCATCAGGTGGTATTCCGGTGATCAGGTCTGCAGGCAGCCGCAATTCTCTCCCAAAGTTTACGAAAGCTGGTGTCACTGATGTACTTTCGTGAACAGCGCTTCGATATGACAACAAAAACGGTTGTATGTGCCTGTCCCAGTCTCGTTGCCGTTTTTCCACAACTTTTGCTAGGTACCTCTCCAATGTCTGATTAAATCTTTCTACCATTCCATCAGATTGTGGGTGGTAAGAAGTTGTTCGTGTTTTCTGAGTACCCATAACTCGGCAAGTTTCCTGGAATATTTGAGACTCAAAATTCCTTCCTTGATCGCTGTGAATCTCTAAAGGTACTCCAAAACGACAGAAGACTTCATGAACTAGTTTATCTGCAACTGTTGAAGCTTCTTGATTTGGAATGGCGAAGACTTCTGGCCACTTAGTGAAGTAATCCATCACTACCATGAAATACTTGTTACCACTTTCAGTTTCTGGAAACGGCCCCGCAACGTCAATGGCTATCCTCTCCCATGGTGCACCAACATTGTACAATTTCAATGCGCCTCTACTACGAATTTGAGGTCCCTTTACAGCCGCACAACTTGTACATTTGCGGCACCAGTCCTCGACATCGTCACGACAGTGGACCCAGTAAAACCGTTCTCGGATCTTCAGGAGAGTTCGTTTAACTCCCAGGTGGCCTCCTGAACAACCACTATGGTACAGCTGTAGAATATCCGGCACTTTAGCCTTAGGGACAACCATTTGCAAATGACACCTGTCTCCCCGACCATTTTCCCATTTACGGCACAGGACTCCATCCTGAATCAGCAAGCTGTCCCATTGGGCCCAATAGCTTTTCGTGGTCGAACTCATTGCTGAGACGTCGCTCCACTTGGGCTTAGGAGCACTGGCCTTCATCCATTCCAGAATCGGCTTAATGTCCGAATCTTCCTGCTGTGCATGTTGTAGGCTGTCCTTCCACTCATTGCTGAGCTGGTCTGTCCTGAGCATTCTCACAGATACCACTTCCTTACCCTCTTGCCTAGTACAATGCTTGCAATCTTCAGGGCAAGGTCTTCTTGACAATGCATCTGCATTGCCATGAGATTTCCCGCTGCGATGTTCGATCACAAAGTCGTATTCCTGCAGTAGTTCTATCCATCTCGCAACTTGTCCTTCCGGATTTTTGAACTGCAATAGCCATTTCAGTGCAGCATGGTCAGTTCGTAAGTGGAATTTCCGCCCTAGAAGATATTTGCTAAAATGCTGCAAGGACTTTACCACAGCATGCAATTCCCGTCTTGTGACACAATAGTTCCTTTCCGGCTTTGACAACGACTTGCTGAAGTACGCTATCACAATCTCTTGATCACCATTCCGTTGAGACAACACACCGCCAAGTCCTATATCACTTGCGTCTGTGTCAACTATGAATTCCTTGCCCGCATCAGGGTACCCCAAAATAGGTGTTTTGCACAGGCGGTTCTTGAGCTCCTGGAATGCAATATCGCAACTTTCATCCCAGCAGAATTGTCGCTTCTCCTCGGTTAGCTTGTGCAGAGGTTTGGCTATATCTGCAAAGTTCTTCACAAATCGCCGATAATAAGAGCACAAACCCAAAAATGCTCTAACCTGTGTCTTGTCTTTTGGGACCGGCCACTCCTTGACAGCAGCAATTTTCTCTGGATCCGTGCGGATACCTTCTTCCGACACTACATACCCCAAAAAACTAACTTGCCGTTTGAATAGTGAGCACTTCTTTGGACTCAACTTGAGGTTGGCACTCTGGATCTTCATGAGCACGCGTTCCAGGTTTTGAAGGTGTTCCTCAAACGTACGGCCTACGATGATGATGTCATCCAAATAGACCAGACAGGCATCTCCAATTAGCCCGGTAAGTACAAGTTCCATCAATCTTTCAAACGTTGCTGGAGCATTGCACAATCCAAACGGCATAACTTTAAATTGCCACAGACCCTTTCCTGTGGAAAATGCAGTTTTCTCCTTGTCCTTAGGGTCAATTTCAACCTGCCAGTAGCCACTTTTCAGGTCCAGCGTACTAAACCACTTTACGCCTGTAAGCATGTCCAACGTGTCATCAATTCTTGGCAAGGGATAGCTGTCCTTCTTTGTAACGTCGTTCAGGCGGCGGTAGTCAACACAAAACCGCATGCTGCCGTCCTTCTTCTTTACCAGCACCACAGGTGAACACCATGGACTAGATGAAGGTTCAATAACACCATCCTTCACCATTCCCTCAATCATGGTTTCCACTTCCTTTTCACGTGCTACAGGCAATCTTCTTGGCCGCTGACGAATAGGCAATTCTTGTCCTGTGTTTATTTTGTGTTGAACTAAGCCAGTCTTTCCTATGTCAGCTTCGTTTGACGAGAAAACATTGGCGTACTTGAGTAACAACTTCTTTGCTTTGACCATTTCATTCGGAGAAAGAACGCTGCGACAGTCTTCTAAAAGTGTGGTCACTCTAGTTTGTCCATCCTTGCTGGGGGTCCCAGTCGATAGATATTGGCACTGACGCAACCAATCCACTTCCTCACTAGTACCAACCAATGTGCCTTTTTCTATAATCTGTTCCTGATCACAAAGGTTCAGCACACGTACTCTTGAGATGTCAGCGGTTCTGACCAATGTTCGAGCCACTTTCCATGGAAGGTCATTGTCTACCCTTTCCACGAGTACACAACGAAGAGTTTGCCCAGGATTCCGTGGAAGTCTAACCGGCACAATCGTTTCCGATCTCGGCGGAAGAACAATCTTCTTAAGGCTGTACACATTCCCTGGTAACGCCCCTTCTACGAAAAGTTCCTCTTGTCCACATTTCAAAACACCTTGCTTAACGTCGATCTCACAACAATTCTTCCTCATAAAGTCTAGGCCCAGGATGCAGTCGTCCATTATATCAGCCACGATGACATTATGCAGGTAGATCATGTTGCCTAGCTTCAACTCCATCTCCTTCTCTCCACGGACGGGTATGCGCTGACCGGTGGCTGTCACCAAATTAATGCGTTCTCGGTTGTATGCGGAGTCCCCAAGGAACCGACTTATAAGTTGGGAACTGACAACCGTGCGAGAGGCTCCAGTGTCTATGGTC